CCTATGATAAATACTATCTTGGTTTCGTTTGAGCAGGAAAATGAATTGGTTTCAAAAATAAATGGGTCAACACAAGAAGAAAGGAGACGATGGTGCTTCTTCATCACGAGGACCATGGGATCCTAGTCCATCCTGAGCTGAGCTACAACATGTAGCACCCCAATGGTCTAAACGACTCAACAGGAAGGAGCTAGTGATTGATAAAGAGGAGGATGAGAGTTCGACGAGTCGATTATCAATTCTGATTTGTTCGATGATCCGCTAGCAATAGTAGTGGAAGGCTATCATTGGATAGTGGGAGATCAAGGAGCAGGAGTGGACAACTACCACTAGAGGCCATGGTGTGGGAGATTGATAGCGATTTGGAGATACGCGAAGACACACTGGAGGTACCCCTTCCTCTAGTTACCCATTGACAGTTCCAGTGCCAAGAAGGTGCAGTGATGGAGAGACATACCGATGGACCACCAAGGAGAGTTGAACTAGGCATATTTCAACCAGTATCAGGGTTGGGAAACACAATTGAGGCAGAGACTCGGCGATGCTGGTCTCTTGTATTTATTCAAAATTAGAGGAGAGAGCAGCGACGTTCTCAATCCAGAGTTCTTGGCTATGTTGATAGTAGAAGCAATGACAAGCTCAAGTCAGAGGCGCATCTCCTATAGATTGGTGGGACGATACTTCACCGACAGTTATAATAGATTTTCCGAGTAATCTAAGGATCTTGTACCATCATAGGAAAGACACACTCTCATAGCCTTCGAGCTTATTGGGAGCCTACGTCACAAATGGCTTTTTTTCGAGAGCTTTGGAAGAGGATAACACGAGATCAAGGAGCCGAGTTTGCTATCAGCTACTCCTCCCTAACGATCATTCAATTGCCATTCATAAGGTTCGTACACTACTTTGGCCGAACAAGCTTTGACATGAGGAAGAAGCGAGATGCTGGGAAGGTAACCACCAGTGACATGATTTTGTATCATGCTTTGGTACATATCTGATGGCTTTACCCAGCATGGCTGGTGGACAAGAAACTTTTGAGGTACACTTTCACCATTCCTCCACGAGGATTACTAAGAGAAGGCTATGTATACACCATAGCCCTCAAATTTTGTCCTGACCCCACTGGTCGAGAGTGAGTAATTCATTTTCCATATTATATACCCCGGTGAGGACCTAGATTGCTCGGTCTTGATTCTGATGTCTTGAATTCTATGCATGAGGTGACTGTGTTGAATGAGTGTTTGAGTCCAGTCTATGTTGGTCGGTAAACAGAAGGGAGACTTTTCCTTTATCCGATTTTGCTGCACTCGAATGTCATCTGTGGTGGTTGCCTAGGTTGTTGTTCTTGTTGTTCATGTGTTGATGTCTAAAAGCCAGTACGGTTCATGTGTTTTGTGCCTATATGATATGTCCCCAAGTTTGCATGATTAAAATGTTTTGAGCTTACCTGGTGTCTAACTTGGTTTGCTCTGAAAAGTGTGGGGGATTTGATAACTCGGTATTTGCACATGATTTTGACCACCACTCTTACGATATTTGTGACTCATTTCCCAGGTTTTAAGCCGATTTCATGCTAGGTTGTGCTCGTTTGTGATATTTTATGTCCTAGTACATGAATGAAGGTTTGTGAACGAGTTTGGGGTCGGTTGGACGAAGTTAGGACGTTCGCTAAGGAGCTGGGGGAATTACATGGCATGTGCATGATTCTACACGTCCGTGTAGGTTGACCGTGCAACAGGCGTCACCCAACCAAGCCCGTACTGGCCGTGCAAAGGAACCTTTTGGCCGTGCGGGTTTTCCAGGAGAGTTACACGGGCAAGGGCCGATTTCACACGGTCGTGTGGTCTGGCCGTGTAATCGGACCTTCGACCAACTATGTGCAACGCCGCATTTCGGGATTCACACTGACATACTGGGATTTCACAAGGTCGCGTTTCGGGTAGAGCTGGGTTTTAACCCAATTTCGAGTCTTTGAGAAGGGATCCGAGTTTTGGAACTGAAAACAGAGCTTTAGAGAGAGAAAGGGACGAACCTAACCTCCAAGGTGACCTAGATTGAGCTTTGACACCATTGGAGCTCGATTGAAGCCTGGTGAAGCACTAATTGACAACCAAAAGCTGAATTTCATCCTCCACATGATGATTTCTGCATCTGAAGCTGATTTCTCTTCTCTCTATGGAGTAAACTCTCTCTCTCTCTCTCTCACCTGGGTATGAACTATGAATAACCCTAGAGTTGTTTGTTAGGTTTGGTTGTATGAACCCAAGTACATGATTTTTTTATATTTATTATATTCAATTGAGGCATGATTTCTGAATTGCATGAATCATGATCACATTCTTGTAGTTTATGCTTTGACCTAGAAAGAGAATATCTGCATAGGTTGATAAAGCACCCTTAATTGAAGGTGGTGAATTGACTACTTTAGTCGATGAGTCAATTCACTGCTCTGTTCTGGATTTAATCCAGCAGTGGAGGTTTTGCACGTTAGGTCCTCAGTTCGTCTATTCCAGTGTAGGTTAGTCGCCCACCGGGTATTAAGACTGAGAGGGTATGAAGACCTTTAGTCGAGACTTCAAACTGATTAAAAACCTTCCGCAGTATAACTATCATTATATATGAACTTGGTCAAGTACAATCCGGCTTGACTGCATTCTAGGGGGAACCATATCTGGGTGATCTCTCTCGAACTTGAATCACACTTTTACTGCTTAGTGTTTGCTTAGTTTAGTTACAACTTCACTACACTTGAACAACTAGATAACAAGAACTTCACGGAGTAGTCATCACATCTAGGACCCAGGTGGACAAATAAAGCTAAACCCGCTATACTAGGCATTAGTTTGTGGTTACACTTGATCACTTTCTAGTGTGACGGTATTGGCGAGTCAAAACCTTCACTCCATAAATCTCCCTCCCTTCTTTTAGTTGGTTTAATTAATGTCAATATACCCTCAACATGTAAAAGGAACAAGTACGAGATAGAGGGTCCATTGCCTAAGTCATCATGATGGTAGAAATTCTTTAGACATGTGCCCATTCACTAGCACCAAATAAGTCACTAATTTTACACACATCGACCAACTTGATCCAATTATCATTGAACCTCAATTTCCTCACCATATCTTCTAGGAAACACCACTCTGCCAATATTGAACGTCTTTGTCATATCCAGCTTAGCAATCAGTTTACCCCATCTTCCCCTTTCTCTTGTTCCAAATAGTAAGTTCTTTTTTTATCTCCTTAAAAAAATAGCTAATCTTTCGTTTACATATGAAAGTTATTAGTGTACTGTTTCTGTATTTTGATAGGTTTAACTTTTATTTTAGCAATTTAACTGCTAAAATTTTGCATTAGGCAATTAATTTGTATTGTTAAAGGTTCGGCTAATATTTTTGCTAAAGTTATAAAGTTTGGTTAATTAATAATTATTTTTAAAGTAAAAAAATTTGACAAATAAATTATATTTACTGGCTGACCGTCATGTCACATAAACTCTTTCAACTCAGCATCACCTTTGACAGCTAAACATTGTCTAATAGAAGAGTTAACAAAAATTTAACAATTGACTAATATTTTGTTATCTTCAAATATTTTATTATTATTTTCTCAAAATACTTGCACAAATAAATATACTAAATAGGAATTGTTTTTATATGATTTCTAATGACATCTTCAAATAAAGAGTGGTGATCTGAAGATTTTTTATGGAATTATTTGTAGAATTAATTCAGGGAAAGTAGAATAGAAATTGGTATGATAATATATGATGATAATATGATCAAGTGGTGAAAATTTTGTCTAATAAATTTTATTGACTCTGTTGTTTTAGCCTTCGCTTTCGTTTTGAATGGGATGGTTGTTTCCTTGCGGTTATTTTTGATGGGCCAGAATGAACGGTTCAAAGAGAATGGATGGATTCGAAATCAATGTATTTAGTAGATTAAATGGTAATTCATGAAAATTTACTAAATTAGTATTTTTGGTTATTTGATTTATCAATTATTTTCATGATAGTCATTTAATTTTTTTTCTTTTATTAATTATTTGCTTTGAGCTCTGCCTCTATTTCATCGATTATCACTTACCAAAATTTGGTTAAGTTTGTCATATATATCAATAAATTTTGCCACCATAATGAAGCCGATAAAGATAAGTAGGGGTGTTCAAATGGTTACCATGATAATTACCAAATCAAATAAGTTTAAAATTTATTTACTATGAAATACAATCTTATAACCAAACCGTCCAAACTAATACAACAACCAAATTAACCAAACTAAACAATATATTATCAAATTATCATTAAGTGAGTAAATCTCCGGTTACTTTATCAATTTGCAATTTATATAATAAATAAAACATAACAATCAACGCATAGTTATAGTTAATCCTTAACATAAATACATGTAACTGATACGATTATCTTACTGTCAATAGAAGCAGAATAATGCTATTGGGTTAATGAATTGTTGTGTTTTGTAAATTGACTTATTCTCTTAACAATTATCATAGGCTGAAATAAACATTCCTTTCAGGTTTTCATTGAACATATTGTCTAAGTGTTATCTATTATCTAAAATAGGAGTCCATATGTTGTGGTCTACATTCTACAAATACAAATATACAGTATAGGAACAATATTGTACTTTATTTTTATAAGCCGGAGAGGGAGTAACGTTTCACACTTGACTGGTTATGCAAAGTATTAATTATGTGTATATAATATTTATGAGATATATAACTAATTACTTAACTAGTTAAGTTGGTTTGATTAAATAGGAGGATGTAAAACCAAACCAAACAAGCTAAAAAATTTAAACAAACCAAACCGCTATCCAAATTAACCAAATATTACCGTTTGAACACCTCGTGAGTTTTTGAGGAGCAAATTCAATATTTCACCACAGTTGGACGATGAATCGACCATTACCATTTCTAAGGAAAACTTTATAGAAAATAGAAGAGCACATCATATGCTTTTGTAATAGAAGGGCAAAACATGGTGAAATTTATAAAGCAGCATGTTTGATAATTTTGCATAGCGAAAAGGCAATAAATACCTTTAACCCTAATCAAAATTGCCAAAGTTGCTAATATTATACCGTGGACCGCAGGAGGCCAAGAGATGAGCTAATAATTATAATTTATCAAAACATATCAATGGAAAATTTCCTTCATTCTGCACAAAAGCCCAGTTTGCGATGCACATTCATGACTCTCGAGCTGAATATAGACAATGGAATGGTTAGCAAAAATGTTATGCTGGAGAACTATCATGTGGAAGTCATTACCAAATCACAATTCTACGGCTTCACTTCCTCTCCAGGCGCCACTAAAGGGCGACGACGGTTAGACTGCTAGTACTACTAAGTCCCTGCACATGGTCTTGGATGCTTGTGTCTGCATAGATGACTGCAAAAGCAGAGCATGTATGTACACATCTCACAAGTTTCTTTCGTGGGGTTCAAGCCATGGGAAACCCAAGTAGTCAAACACTTCCTTCTCCGTCTGAAGTTTCAAGCTTGCTGTTGCCCTTGTACCCTGCAACAAAATTGTGATTTGTTGAATGCCGGTAAGAGTAGCCTGCCCTAGCCTATTGGTGCAGATTCTGAAAACTGTGAGATCAGATTCATTTACCCGTTTTCCACCTGAGGAGTGAGTAGCTGGAAATAGACCGGTATCATCAAGCCGGAAACCTTTGGACTCTGCTAGGAGCCTCAACCTGTGGACCAGCAGCAATGAGAAAGAGAGGCTCAATGAAGATGATAATGGAGATATAGGAAAGGCCATTCATGATTTGAAAAACTGCAACTTACCTTCTGTTCAGTACATCATTCCCAGTCCAAGCTATGAGACCAAAAGCATATATATCTCTTGGATATACCTACAGAATGAGACGGATTAAACTAATGAATCAACCATTATGGTCTGGAGAGATGACATATCAGCACTCTTTTCACCTTGAAATCTATCCGGCGTCGCAATTCCCTTCCTGGATATGTACAAAGACCAAAGTATGTGTCAACACCAGAATCAGTACCCTGCACACACAAAAAGGTTCAGTAAAGTATGAAGACAACTGTACTGCAAGCAAGTGATACAGATGACCTAATCCGAAAAATAGCTGGTGCTCTGGGACGTTGATATATATGGTTATTTATGTTATCAAATGGTTCTGATGACAGTTCCCTGAAAAGTAAAAACGGTCAAGGAGGAATAAAATTGCCATACCTGTTCACTGTGAGTGGTGAAAACTAAATCTTCTCTCAAGAACTTCATATCCTTCAACCGTTTCACAAACTTCGACAAAAATCCTTTATGGCTGTTCTAAGGAAGGGATTAAACAAGAAGAACAAGAATGCTCAGAAAAATATTGTTAAGAACTTCCGGAAAAAATACCACAAACTGTACCTTTTTCCATCGGGGTGAGTAACTACAATATCCATGTCTCCACAAGATGCTTTCCCACGTCTGTAAGATCCTCCACATAGAATAAGTACCTTAAGAACATGTCAAAGCAGAAATCAGATAATGAATCCCTAGGCCTTGGGCTTTGCCTGTAGAGTGTAGACAAAAGTAAATACCAGTGACTCTTAAACCGATAACAGAATAGAAGAACATCTCTACATGGCAGACTGAATCTGAAATATGAAATGGACCCACAAAATATGCAGCCAACGTCCTTTCATTGAATAACAACGGAACACTACTTCATTAAACCTGGATTAAGTACGTCCCTTTGGAACCTCTCAAGTATTTAGAATCATCTTTTGTCCATGTACCGCTGCAAAACTACTCACCCCAGGCAAAATTTCTTCTCCAGTTTTCTGCAGCAGTCCTTCCATTTCTTGAACCTGGTAGTTCGATTTATGTAAACAACATCAGGAGAACAAATACCAAAATCATTTTAATCCATATCCACAGAAGTTGAGAGAGAAGCCTGACACTTGACCTCGTTGCGAGGAATCCTTGTCCTAATGTCATCAAAGTACTTCAACCCTATCTTCTGTGAAGTAGTCAATGAATCCTCATTTTCCAGATCCTCTAACCTGCGATGTCCTTTCTCGTACAACTTCAGGGCAGTAGCTGGACCAACACCCCAAATTTCTCCGAATAAAGTTATGGCACATACCTGGAATTACTTGCCAGAGAAAACTTCACTAATTAAAAATTCATATAAAGCCTTTTGCAGCTCATAAAGATAAAATCAAGGATATTCATCATATGGTTTACGACCACACTTATGAACATCTCCTCTACAAAGCATTTCTATTACCTTTTCATCCGTTTCAAAGTGCTCCAACTTGAATAATTTTCCAGTAGTCACTATTTCCTGAATCTGCAATTTACCAGAATGCATAGATAACGTTGAACATTGCTTCTCCACCACTCATATAACATCTGCCAACTACTGCAATAAACAGAAGGACAACTAAGGACTTAATCTAAACTTACGTGGTCTTGCAATGACTTTCCAATCCCAGGCAGACATTTCACCTGCTCTGCGCTCTCGATTTTGAATGGCAACTTCTCTATGACTGGGATTGCCTTGTGATAGCTAAAGGACCTCCGATCATCACCCAACGCTTTCCACAGAAAGATAAGGTGTTATCAATATCATTCATGGCAGAAGTAAAGACAAAGGGGGAAGAACTGAGCATTCTAGCAAGAGTATGCAGGCTTACCCCGATAGATGTTGATAAGTTTTCCAAATATCTCAGTGATGTTTCTGTTTAAATCAGGTGGATTATACTCCAAGGACAACTGCACATACAGGCAACCGATCAACTAGGGCAGTCTCCACTGCATCCATATCAGCTATTAGACACTACTGCAACTTACATCCATATTCGAACTGCTATAAGATTTCGGGCTGGTCCTTCCAGGGCTAAGAGAGTAGTCTACGCTCTCAGAGATTCTGGGACTATCCGCTGAATCATCTCTGCTATCAGCTTTTAAACTTTCCACGTCCTCTGGATTATATCTCGCCTTTTTCAGAGAAGGTTCTTCACTATCCTTAGCACTTTGAGACATACTTCTAGTATCCCCTCCTTCTGAATTGATGTCTATGCGGTATAAATCCTCAGAAACCTTTTCCCCTAATCTCAGGCTCTCCTCTAGCCACTGAAAAAGGAGAACTCTCTGGGAAGAGATGCAGTTAAAAAGAATTGAAGCATCAGAATTACACGCATTGATCTAAGAGTAGAGAGGATAACCAACGAAGCCTAAAACTCACTCCCTTGAAGCTTTCAAGGCGTTGTCTATCCAATTGCTTGAGAAGGGCTTCTGGGCTCATAGCAAAAACGCAATTAACCTTCTTGGAGAAGTAGTCCTCGACGGTAGCCCTCTTCTGCACCAGCTTCTGCTTCCAAATCTTCCGAACCCCAACGATGAAATGCAAAGAGAAGCAATAAGTTGAAGGGAAAACTACTTGCTTCCGAGCATCCAAGTTTCAAAAGTTTGCGATGGGAATTTTAAGAGAAACAAACCTCTAGCCGGCGGGGCTGAACTCCATTCGCCACCAAGAGAACCACCATCCCGGCGAACATCCCGTTTGGGTCGATCAAGGGTTTTGCTTTTGCACGCCCTCGACGCCATTGCCATATGTTTTTTCTGAAAACCTTTGGCGCCATTATGCTATAGAAACCGCAATTCCAACAAAACCCCACAAACAGAGTGGAGAATGACAGCAAAGTTTTCTGAGGAAGATGAAAGTTTTTAACTTTTATACTTTCACTTTGGCCTTTGGCTTCCCATACGGGCTTGCTGAGTTTGCAGCCCAATCGGCAATCACTCAATCCCTTGGATTGGAAGTTGGAACCAACCGATGATCGACCGTCCACAACAATACGGCGTCATTTCATTCAGCCGGTCCGTGCGAAGGGAAGCTGGGCTAGGTTCAGGTCCTTAAAGCTCATAACTTAAGAATTATCTTAAGTGATTTCTATTGGCTGATAGAATTTAGTTAGTTAATAGGTTGTTAGTAATTAATTGGTGGTTACTGGTAATTAATATATTAATTAATTAAAAAATTAAAAGCCTGCCGCACTCATACCTTCCCAATTCCTATGCGGCTATGCAAATGACACACTTTTTAAAAACTACAAAATCCGTACCGTAAGCTTTTTATCCCTGATGTTGGTTCTTCATTCGATTGCCTCTTCGACTATTTAATTATGGATAGACATAAAAATATAAATCATTAATAAATATATTTTAAATTATTAATAATGTTATTTGAACCGTTAATATTGATGTTATATAATGTTAATAATTCCTTTTTAAATGTTAATAATGAAATTGTTTATGGTTAACAATTTATCTTATATCTTTAACGGTCTAATGTCATTTTTTAATAATGATGCCGATTATTGTTAATGTCTTTGTTTTAGTTTTGAACAAAGACACCAATATTTGAATATTTTTAATGTCATTTGGCACTTAATATTGAATCCAAACATTATTAATGATTTTGTGTTGGTTCTCAATGAAATTCAATTTCTTTATCAATGGAGTGCAAATGGTTATTAATGGTTTTCAATATCCAAATGTTGTATATTAACACTTAATATTGAATCACAATAAAGATATTGTAAATCAATAGTAATATTATTCAACTCTTTACTAACGATATAACATAACTTTAATAATACATTAATAAGCGTTGATAATGAAAATATAACTCGTTGGCAATTGAACTAAATTCGTTGATAATGTAACCGTAAAATATTGATAAGTATACTGAAAGTGTTAATAATGATGGGGTATATCTAGGGCTGGTAACCGGTTAACGGTTTAACCGGTAACCGTACCGATAACCGGCGGTTGCCGGTTAACCGTTAACTGGCGGTATCGGTATACGGCAGGAGAAATCCAGCTGTCGGTATACCGACCTATAATCTATAAGTAACCGCCGGTTACTCGGTATAACCGAGTATACCGATAGAAGGCAAAACCCCTCTCCCCTTTTTCAATCAGTTCCTTCACTCCACCTGCTCTCTCCCTCCTCCCTCTTAATCTCCCTCAAATTCTCTCTTCCTTCCACAAACAGAACCTTCACCGTGAGAGATTCTGTGAAACCCCCTCCTCTCTTTCTCGATTTCTTGATTCAGACCATGACCGCCGATTCGTCATCGTCAAAGGGATGCGTCGTCACCGGAGAGAGGGCAAAGAGCGATGGGTTTGCTCCTCTTTCCACTCCTCTGCCGCCGTCTTTGGAAGAACCCAGAACCGAGTCCGACGCATCGCTCTCCTTTTCAAACACAGCATCCAATCTGGCGACTCTCTCTCCCTCTAGATTCCAGATTCGGCTCCAAGCAACTCCCTTGTGCGGCGGCTCTCTCTTCCTCTCGAGGTCAGATTCGGCGAGATGCAGTCTCCCACCCGCAACGGTTCTCAGTCAGTCTAGATGGCGGCGAGAGGGAGGGCTACGACGAGATGGCGGCGGGATGGTTGCCGGAGATCTGGATCAAGAGAGGAGGCACCCGGATTTCTTGACACCCCCAAAAAATCCCTAATCGAGCGGCGACAACGACTGGAGGCTGGAATGGTGGTGAGGGCAGAGAGCAAGCTTGTTCGATGCGGCGGCGACAACGGCGACGGCAGCGGTTGGCGGCGATTAGTGTAGGGATGGGGAGATGAGAGGAAATCGAGAGAGGAGGTCTGGGAAGGTTGGGGAGAGGTGAACGAGAGAGAGAGGTGGTCTGGGGAGGGTTCAAGAGAGAGAGAGAGAGTCCGATTGTCGAGAATGGGTGAATGAGAAAGAGAGGAGGAGGTGTGTCTCGCGGGTAGCCGGTATAACCGGTTTGTAACCGTTAACTGAGTGTTCGGTAACCGATTAACCGGTTACAAACCGGTATCGGTATCCGGCTTCTCCCCTGTCGTGAACGGTATACCGGTAACCAGGTCGGTCGGTAACCGGTTAACCGGTTACCGACCAATTACCACCCCTAGGTATATCAATAATAATTTTTTTTATAATCGTTGATAATGCAATTGAAAAACATTAATAATATCAATGGCAGTCGGCATGGAGAGAGAGTGTAAACATTTTTAATTACCTTTTTAATACATGAAATATTAATTATGAATTTTGATTTTTAATTTGGACTTCCATTAATTGTTAAATACTAATATTTAATTAATATCTTTTATCGTCCTTTTAGGTGGTTAGACTTCACTTTCTCTCTCCTCCTCCTATTGGCCAATAATAACTTAAGAAACTGCTTAAGTTTTAGACTTAAAGACCGGATCCAACCCGAGCCGTACCTCTGGAACTGGAAGGGTTTATCGTTTCAAGGTTAAACCCCGAAAACCTGATCTCCTTCTGCTTCTTCTTACACAGCAAGGCAGATGCTTTTTCGTCATAGCTCTGCTCCAATGCTCCATTTCTACAAGCTCTCGTCGTCGCCAAAGCTCCTCTTTCCTCAATTGAGAATAACTTTTCCGTTTCTCTCATCCCCTTCACTCTCCTCTTCGTTTCCCAACTCATCGACTTCGCTTCGGGTTCATCTGTTTTGCCTCGCCCAATCCAACGACGGAGGAGTGCGGAGCTTCGCTACAGCAGCCGCCGTCTCCACCACCGCGGATCGTGGCGGCGGCGAGACGTTCTTCGCCGAGGAAGGCGTTTCGTGGAATGCTCTCGGCTTGCCGGACACAATCTCTCAAGCTCTATCGAATGCCGGATTCACCAGGCCGTCCCTCGTTCAGGCCGAGTCCATCCCATCGATTCTTTCCGGGAAGGATTCGATCATTGCGGCGGAGACTGGCAGTGGGAAAACGCATTCCTATCTAGTTCCTCTGATTCACAAGCTTTCCGCTTCCATTGGCGGCTCTGTTTGTGATTCTGCTTCTGATAAAGGTTTCAAACCTTCCCGTGAAGTTTCGCTTGTTCTTTGCCCCAACGTGCTGCTATGCGAGCAAGTGGTTCGAATGGCGAGTGGTCTTTGTGATGAGAATGGTGACCCACTTATCAAAGTCGCAGCAGTTTGTGGGAGACAGGTAGTAGCATATTCCAGCTGAATTCAAGTTCCTTCTGTAGTACATACAAAAAAGTTACTTCTTTTGAAGTCAGTTTAGCTCAGTTTTAGTTCCTTAAACCTGCTTCCTTTAATTTGAATTTATGAAGGGATGGCCAGTATATCAACCAGACATCCTTGTATCGACTCCAGCTGCGCTTCTGAACAACATTGAACCAAAGAAACAGAGAAAGATGAGTTTCCTTCGTGGAGTCAAATATGTGGTATTTTTTCTCTTTCAAATTTCTCCTCTCTGAACCTTGCTGTTTGATGGAGCTTTTCAATTTTGGGTTCATGTTTACTTTTAATGGTATGCTGTTCATTAACTGTCAGGTGTTTGATGAAGCAGACATGCTTCTCTGTGGCAGTTTCCAGAATCAAGTGATCCGTCTCATAAACATGTTTCGTCATGATGAGAAGCTTCTTTCCTGGACAAGTCAATCCACCGCTGATAATGCTTCTGAAGTAGACTTGGAGACCCTGCCTCAGGATGCCTTGGAACAGGATGAAGAATCGCCAAACGATGCACCTCAAGACGACGATGAAGAGATCGAAAGTCTTTCTGAAGAGGAAGAGTTAGAAGAGGGAAATGAAGATGGTGTTTCAGTTCAGAGAAAGGGTTGGAGAAGAGTTCTAAAACCTTACGACCGTAGCAAGCAGTATATCTTTGTGGCAGCTACACTCCCAGCTAATGGGAAGAGAACTGCTGGTGCAGTGCTGAAACGGATGTTCCCAGATGCTAGATGGGTTAATGGAAACTACCTTCACCGCCATAACCCCAGGTGCTCACACTGATTTCAAAGCCTCTTCCAATTGTTGCACCTAGCTGGCCACTTTTGATAACTCATTTGTTACGTTTGCTTTGCAGATTGGAGCGGAAGTGGTTTGAGGTAACCGTAGATAGCCAGGTGGATGCACTTATTGGGGCTGTGAAACATGGAGTTGAATCTGAAACGCCTGATAATAATGATGTTAGTCGAACTATGGTGTTTGCAAATACCGTTGAGGCCGTTGAAGCAGTAGCGAAGATACTGGAAAGAGCTGGAATTGAGTGTTACAGATACCATAAGGACGCCTCTTTAGAAGAACGTGCTGGGATGTTGGATGATTTCAGGGAGAAAGGTGGAATTTTTGTGTGCACTGATGCTGCTGCTCGTGGGGTTGACATTCCAAATATCTCGCATGTTATTCAGGTGCCTTCTCTTTGTGTTAGCCATGGAGATGTTTTCCTTCATATGCTTCTTACATAATCATGAACAACACCTCTGGTGAACATACTTCAGAGGAGTAATTTCTGAAGATTTGTTGGCTTCATCCTCCAGGCAGACTTTGCAACGTCAGCTGTAGATTTCTTGCATAGGGTTGGCCGCACAGGTCGAGCTGGTCAACATGGGGTTGTTACTAGCCTGTACACCGAGTCCAATCGAGATCTTGTTTCTGCAATTCGTGAAGCGGAGAAACTGGGACGCCCAGTGGTAACTATCAAAACCTAACTTGCTGTTCTATCCTGATATTTGCACCAACTGTTAAGTAACCCTTTTGCAGCTATGTAGTGTAATTTTATCTAACGAATTATGCTGTTATGATTCCAGAGCAGTAGATTGATAATTGTCTTATATGGGTTGCAGGAGACTGCTTTTAGCAGGAAAAGAGGCTTCAGGAACAAACTCAAGAAGAGAAGCAAACTTCAATTCGCGTCGCAGTGAGCTTCTAATGCAAGGAAAGGAAACATCAGATTGCAACCATGAGGTACTTATATAAAGGTGTTAGCCTGATTCTCAAATCATTAGCAGGTACACTGGAACATGACGAACTGCTGAATTGGCTGCTCCCTAAAAGGAAATGTGGGCATTTGACTATTCTGTCATGTTTTTTCATTTCCTTCTCATCGTCGCCTTGTAAATTTATTGTATCCTTGTATGACTTGAATGGTCACTATAAGAAAGCAGCTTCTTAACAAAGTTGTTGATTTCTCGGTCCGATTCACCTCCCTCGCTCACCGCCTCCATAGCCATCTGCTTCCATTTCCTTGCAGCTACCTTAATCTCCAGGCTTCTACTCCCCTCCATCATCACTTCCTTCAAGCACCTAGCTACTTCCTCCCTTCTAACAACCCCCGTCTCGTCTTCCTTCACTCTAACACCAATCTTCCAAATCTCCTCCACATACTTGGCATTGGTGACCTGATCACTCCACTGCGGCATAGCCACCATTGGCACACCCAGGCTCAGCCCTTCAAGGGTCGAGTTCCAGCCGCAATGTGTGACGAAGCAGCCTGTGGCCTTGTGTGCCAACAGCTCAAGCTGGTTGCACCATGGCACTATTAGACCCTTTGAAGCATTCAACTCCCTGAACCGAGTTGGGAGCTTGCTGTGCTCTGAAGCCCTAACCACCCACAGGAACTGAATGCCGGTTTCCTCCAACGCCGCTGCAATCTCTCCCATCTGCTCTTCTGTCAAAGACACCATGCTGCCGAAGGAAATGTATGCTATTGATCTGGGTTTCTTGTTCTCCAGCCATTTTAGGCACTCATCACTGAGTGGTTTCCAGAGACTCGCTCCATATCCTTTGTCACCGGCAATCCGGCCGTCTAAGTAGGACGAAGGAATCATCGGGCCAATCAGTCTCGCCGGCCAATGCTCTTTGACACTTCCTGCCTCCTGTTTTTTGAAATCATTACATAGAACAGAATCAGGTGGTTTTCTGCTGCAAGTAAGAATACGTTGCTTGAACATGAGTTGTAAACACTAAAGGAAAAGAGAGGTAAATAGTTGTTCATTTCGTACAGCTATATCATGATATGTCAACAAGGAAGAGAGTTATTGACTATTGGTTGTTGGGGGAAAAAAGCTGTAGAGTTGACTGTTGGATAGAAAAATTAGCCAGCTACAGAGGACAATGAATGAAACAGTGATCATGAGAAGGAATCTGTTTACGAACCTTGCTCTCCAGTTGCTGAAATGTGTTGCAGAAAACCCAATCGACCTCGTCCAAGTTCGAATACTGACACAGCACCATCGCCAAGTAGGCCGGGTTGCTCTCCGGAAACCTGACGAAGGTCGGCAGATCAGCACGACCCAGCTTAGGCAACCCAGGGACAGCCACCCCATCCTCCTCGGACGCCAACGGCAGCGTGATCACGCCGCGGCTGACGCGGCAGAACACGCCGCAGACGGTGGCCGAGTTCGTGAAGAACGCGGCTCCATAAATGCGGTGTCCCCTGGCAACGTCAAGCGCCCACGGCAGGAAAGAATCGTAGACGATGCAAGTGACAGGGGAGTCGGTTCTCTCGTGCCTCGCCACGAGCTCGGACAGGGTTCTGGTGCCGTGGGTCTCGAACGACTGGAGGAACGTCCGCTCGTCTCGAGCCTGAACGAACCCTCCGGCATCGAAACCGTCGGAGATGGGCTCGACGGCGACGACGACGGCGGGGGAGGCGGTGATGGAGCCGACGGTGTAGTGGGTGGTGGCCATTGTGGCTTTCACGCCTTTGGAAGAGAGGCGTTTGGCGAATTGGAGGAGCGGGTTGATGTGGCCCTGGCTTGGGTATGGAAGGAGCACAACGTGTGCATTTCTCTGCGGCGCTACTTCTCCCATTTTTCCTCACTCTGTTTTAGCTTTCTTCAGGGGAAGGGTTTGCTTCCTGTTCATGGTGGTTTTGGAGGTGGAACTCAGGCGGGTTTTTATAAAGGTCCGAGGAAAGCGAGAGTGGTGCATTTCCTCTTCTTCTCACGATTGTCACGTGTCACGATTATAATGACAAACTCAATGTGGAGAAAGCTTCTGCCGTTTTTGGAATGAAAAAAAAAAGGCTTTGATTTTGTGAGAGGCGGTGCTGATGTCTGCGTTCAATAAAGGAATTGCTGGTTTGGTAGATGGAGCAGTCGGTAGCCATAAACTCGGTGGTTCGGACTGTTGAGCTGTTTCTGTTCTAATCTGACGTAAGGCTATTCGACGTCATTTCATTTAATTGTGTTAGGTTGTTCACTTCACTTGTTCTACGTGACGTAGGGTATTCGACGTCACCCGATTTTGTATTTTTCAGACGCCAGACTGACGGGATTTTTTTTTATCGAGAAGAAAAGTCAAAATAAATACTTTATTTTGTATTTAATAAAAATGGGACTTTACTAAGGTTGTCAAACCGGTTTATGCCAGTGTGCCGGTTTATAAGTAGAATGGTTTGACCGGTGGCACATACCCGTTTGTGCCGGTTCATGGCGGTCAAGATTACAAATAAAATTATAAATACTCATATTTAAATATGACATTTAACATCAATACCTAAACATTTATACTTGAATCCAACAAATAACATCAATATTTAACTTTTATGCTCATAAAATAAATAATAAAATAATTTTTATCAATTAAATTAACTACAACAAGATCAATTTACGTAGAGATTCGTATATCGATCATGCTGGTCATACCCTAAAAACATATTGAGTATTTATTGGTAAGAGTATTTAGTGGGATAAATATAAAAAGAAGAGATAAATAGTAGTAACAAAAAAATCTCTCAAATTAAAATATGGAATCTCGTTGACTATGAGAAATTTGATATCTCTAGATTTTAGAGTTTTGAAAATTTTGAAACTAAAATCTAATATACAATGAATCTTGTGTTTGACCTCACTAAGGCCCGCTATGGTGTTCAGGGATGTATTTAATGGAGATCTTTGTGAAAGCCAAAATGACTCAAACAGGTGAACCTCCAGCATCACAACAATGTGTGGGAATGTTTCTCGGTAATAAAAAAAATATAGGATAGAAAAACAGCAACAACTAAGGGGTCGTTTGCTTCAAGGATTGTAAAATGAGGGTTTTCACTTAAACGTGGGATTTAAAAACCTAAGGTTTTATTTGGGATTTGGGGCATTTTGGATTTGGAAAAATCCTTTGTTTGTTTCTTCATTTTGATCATGGATTTAATAATTTGGGATTTAGAAATAAAGAATTGCATTTACCTTATTGCCCTTTTTTTGATCATCAGTACTTCCAAATTCTACCTCATAAAAACATCACAATAGGTTGTGAGCATTCTACCGGACTTCTGCTGCTGTCTTCCTGAAGCCGCCCAATTTCAGATACTTCAGATGAGAGCGTCTACAGCAATGCATGAACAATGAACAACCCAAGTCAAACACAAAACACACAGGGAAAAAAAACATTTAAGGATAGAGTGTATGGAAGGGAGTATCTTAAGGAGAGGATGAATTGGTACGAACCAAGCCGAGAGCATCTGCTGCACTTTTATGGCTCTCTTTACTGCTGCAAGCCACGCAGAACATGTCCATCAGAACTGTTTATGGCTCTCTTTACTGCTGCAAGCCACGCAGAGCATCTGCTGCACTTTTATGGCTCTCTTTACCGCACATTGAATCAGATAACCAAACAAAAGGACCGTAATTTCAGATTCACTTTTTCTTGGATCATGGCAGGACCAGATCCCATTAAAACACACTGATAATGACATGAACATATCTGCAGAAAGTTTTACATCAGTTATGAAATGAACAAGGTAGCCATCACAACTGTTTAAAACCAGCAACCATAAGTTTAACACAACTCTAACATTTTGGGATGAAAGGAAACTTCTGCAAAATGGTGATATTTCCACCACCAAGCACTTGCAATGGCTAACTACAGTTCCTTCTCTAACCTTGCACAAAAAAGGAAGTTTGACATTCATCCCAACGGTGTTCTGCAAAATAGACTACCACCTACGCCACCATTATCAACGTAGCAAGTTCTTGATGAAATAGCACCGGTCTTCCTCGTTCTCCAGGGCATAGAAAAGTCCAGTCTTTGCCTCGTTGTCCACTAAAGCCATAGCAGCATCAATGACTTGGTCACGAGTGAGTCCTTCAATTTTTCCTATCTCCTTCATCAAAGCAGCTTGCTTGCTGTGGTCACCATCACGATCACGTTCACCTGTGATCGAGCCAAGAGCTTCTACAGCCTTGAAGATTAATGGTTTCAGCTCACCAAGTTGGGATGACACATTAACTATAGCTTCATCAGTGTTAATTTCAATTTTTTTTGCCTTCTTCTTAACAGAGATGTTGCTGCCAGCTGCTTTCTTTGGTCTACAAGGCTGAATCTTGGTGGCTGGAGCTCCTACTGGTTCAAATGGAGGTGAAAAGGCAGGATGTTGCAGCTCAATACCTTCGGTAATTAAGTCATCCATGATCTCTGTGGCCCTTTGGGAATCCAGGTCGATTGGTGAGTCAAACAAAGCAGTAAACTTTCTCCATTACTGAACACCACAACATTTTAAGCAAACAAACACAACATATGATGCTGCCTGACGATGCGGAAGCAGGGCTGGTGGTAGTCTTCTCTTTTTATTTTGAAGGTTGGAACACGGGAGCATAGCAGAAAGGGTAATGGTTGGGAGCAGAAAGGGTAATGGTTGGGAATAGCAGAAAGGGTAATGGTTCATCGAACAAGAGGGGAATTGCAAGGAAGGGAGTGCTCACCTGGGTTTCAGGTTCGCTGCCGGAGATGCCGCCTGAACGCAACCCTGATCGCCGGCCGAAGAACGTAGCCTGATCGCCGGCCTGAACGTAGCCTGATCGTGCGCGCTACTCCTCTTCCGCTGTTCCAGAAATCCCCGTGGAGAACTCCTCTTCGCAGCAACTTCTCTGTTTGGCGTTCAATGGGCAGAGGGAGAGTGGAAACGACAGATATGTGAGTGTTAGAGAGGGCAATTTTGGGTTAATGAAAAATAATGAGGATAGGAGTGTCAATTGGCATCTTGGTTTTTCTGCACATCACCAATTCCCTAATAATCATGTGGGATTTATAAAGCCGTGGGCCCCACGGATTTGGAACAAAAAAAATAACCCAAATCCGTGGGGCCCACAGATTTGTCTAAAAATTTTATGACAGGCAAACAAGGGATTGTGGTTAAATTCCTAATGGTTAGGTTTTTAGTGTCAAATCCATGATAACAATCCTTGAAGCAAACGACCCCTAAAAAATATAACGTTCATGCCCATAAAATACCCGACCATAAAAGCCAACTCCAAAAGATTCGATTCAAATGAAATTCATTGTTATGACCAAGCCTACTTTATAAAAAGATTAACTGCCTGAAAACACTATCAAAGAAATGTGAATAACTTTTAGAGTTAATTACAAGGATGATCACTGGGTTTACTAAAACCGTTCATGTTTGGTCACTGCAAATATTTAATTCCATTTATGGTTACTAAAATTAGTTCAATAGTTCAAGTTTGTCACTTTCCGTTAGTCTCCGTTAGTTTTTGCTGATGTGACAGTCAACTATTATAATTGACCGTTAAATGAGTGACGTGGCCATTAAAAAAATAATAAAATAATAAATTTTAAATATTTACAATTTACACCTCATTTTACAACTATTACAAAATAAAATATCGTCTCCCTTTGCGTCCTAACCAAATCCCTCGCCGCCGCTGCGCTCTCCGACCGGGTCAAGTTTGTCGACCTGCCACCCAACGACGCCGCTGTCGACCCCACCGTCAAAGACGTCGTCAAATTCTTCATGGACTCATACAAATCCCACGTCCGCGACGCCGTCGCCAAGCTCGTCCAGGCCTCCCCTCTCGTCTCCGGGCTCCTCGTGGACATGTTCTGCACCACATTCATCGACGTCGCCGACGAATTCGGCCTCCCCAGCTACATCTTCTACACCTCTAGCGCCGGATGCCTCAACGGTTTGATCGGATTGTGAGCGCGGCGATTGAGAAGAGATTGGGCGGTGGTGGAAAGAAGAAGGAAGGGGATGGGGTTAATAACAAGAAGAAGGATTTGTTGCAGGTTCTGCTGGATTCTGGTGCTGCCTCGTCCTTGGCTTCCATGGCCCATTTCAAAGCCCAAGTCCAGATACTGGAAGTCGGCGGATTCACTGTCCCCCAAGGGACGGAAGTCGTCGTCAACGGCTGGGCCATCCACAGGGACCCTTAGTTCTGGGACGAGCCGTCGGATCTCCGACCGGAGCGGTTTCTGGACGGTGGGGACGGGAGGCCGCCGGCGTTTGATTTCATGGGCGGCGGGAGCAGTGGTTTTCGGTACATTCCGTTCGGGTCGGGTCGGAGGAGCTGTGCGGGAGTTCATTTGACGGAGAGGCTGATGAAGTATGTATTGGCTTCGTTCTTGCATTGTTTCGAGTGGAAGCTTGCCGACGGGGAAGGAGGAGTTGTTGATTTTGCCGACGAGTTTGCGCTGTTGATCAAGAAGAAAAGGTCGTTAATCGCAGTGCCGACTCCCCGCCTGCTTGCTAGGCCAGAGCTGCTTGCTTAATTTGGGGATTAGGTCTTTGGAATTTGCATCTCAAGAAATAATGGTTCTTTCGATTTCTACGAAATGGCCACGACGGCTAGAATCCGGCTCGGCGAAATGCAACGATGGCGGGTTGGGGGAATCGGAGTCATGACGGGTTGGCAAACGGCAGCGGCTGCCGAGATCCGGCAGGTGGACGGGACGATAAGGAGCAGAGAGATTAGGGTTTGAATTTGGGATAGGGGCATCAACGTCATTTTCATACGGTTTAGGACGAAAATATTTAAATTTTAGGACGACAAATAGCAATTCAGAAACTTTTTCCAGTTCCAATCAATTGTCTGGGTTGAGATTTGTCAACTTCATCTAAATTTCAATGCAAGTCACGGCAGGATATCTCTCTACTATGGCAAGATGAATTGGCAAGTTAAATACAATCCAACGCCACCCAGAAACAAAACATCACCCCGACCACCATCGCAGCTGTCCTCCTCCGCCTCTCCTTCCACCACTGCATGGTTGAGGGATGCGACGCCTCCACCCTCATTGCACCATCGCCTTTCCACAAGACAGAACGTGACCCCAACCTCAACCTCAACATCCCGACTCCCGAGCGATGCATATGAGACGGCCGTTCGTGCCAAGACCGCCCACGAGCTCGAATGCCCCGACATTGTCGACATCCTCACTGCCGCAGCCTGCAACCTCATCAGCATGGTCGGTGGCCCTGTTTATTGTGTCCGTCTTGGCCGGAAAGACAGGCTGTTTTCCGACGCTTCCTGTGTGAACCCCAACCTCCAGAAGCCGACCATGCCCATCTCTCAGGTCATTGCCTTAGTTGTCTCCAGAGGGAACACGGTCTAAGAAATGGTGACTGCTGATCGGAGCCCATACGATACAGAGTTCAGCTACCGGCTTTACAACTTCAGCAGGACTTCCCCAACTGATCTGGCGCTTAACCCCAAGTACGCGGAGGGGCTGAAGAAACTGTGTCAAAACTACACCAAGGACCCGACAATGAGCGCCTTCAACGATGTGATGACCCCTGGGAAGTTCGACAACATGTACTATCAGAACCTGGACAAGGGGCTATGGCTGCTTGCTTCGGATCAAGCCCTGGCTGCAGATCGGAGAACGAAACCTTTCGTGGAGCTTTATGCAAAGAACAAAAAGGCTTTCTTCCAAGCGTTTGCTCAAGTGATGGAGAAGCTCAGCACCTACAAGATCAAGACAGGAAAAGATGGCGAGGTGAGGGACAGGTGTGATTAGATCAATACTGTGAACATGTAAAGGCAAATTCATTATGAATGAATGAATGCCTACCCGCCCAATGCGTCGAAGAACATTGTTGCATGTTACCTGCAGAACCATCATGAAATATCCTGCAAAAATTGGAAACACAGAAGACATACCTAGAACTATCTCATGAGAAAAACTAATGCCCCTGAGCAGTCACTCCTTTCAGTTCACTAACTTCCCTCCGACTCCTAGAACAGGCATTGGACTAATGAATAATCACAATTGTCAAGAGTGTGGAAACCAAAAATGAAACCACGCCCATTACAACAGCTTGCAGCTAAATAGTAGCTTTGGAGAGGCTTACCTATTTGCCAAGCAGCCAATGGTGACAACGTAGTTCGCCATGAACGAACAAAAAATATATTGCATAGATTATGCAAATGTACAGGTATGGTTCTTACAATCACGGGGAAGAAAAGACACCAGAAAAGCCTAGGAAAGGGGAAACTCCCCATCAAAAAGATTACATTTTACATAACATTGAGCTGTTGACGTAGCAATATACACAAGAAGACCGTCTTCGCACTTCAACATTAGTCATGAAGTATAGTAGGAATCATTCAGCAACCAATTATGGTCGGAGTAGAAAAAAGCCATCAGAGCCGAATCACCAGGAAAAGTTTGTTCAAAAACTAATGTGTATCTGATTCGGCCTCCGGAATTATTCTGCAGCGATGAATCAAAGATTAGGAAGCATAGTTCCTGAAACACAATTGGGAAGAAGAACGGCAGTGAAGTTTGTGTCCCTTACATGGATTAGCAAGTCTTTCTCTTGTCTACTTTTATGTGGATATTGAACCATTTCTTTTTCTTTGGTCTATCTCTTGTTGAAGATTTCTTATCTTTTGCTTGTCCAACTTCATGGTTCTCCTTGAAGGAACCCTTACTCCTACTTTTACTTATACTCCGCTTCATTGGTGGTACAACTGTGTAGGCTGCATGAATTTCATTCCTTTGTTTTAGAAGCTCATCAATCTGCATTGATCAAGACATAGATCAGAAGACTATACAGTGATGTGAACTAATGATATCGGACAAAATCTGCATACGTCATACCTCTTGCATCTCCTGGGCATATCTACCCGTCATTTCTGTGAAATGCGCCAACACCTGTCAAGCTTACAAACGAAGTTAGCAAAAGTAAATCACATCTACGATGGACTTTAACCAAGGGATAATTACAGACCTCGCGGTATTCAGATTCAAACTTCGATATTTCTATCCTTTTTTCAAGAATTTCAGCTTCAACGGCTCTAAGAGTCTGCTTTTCTTCCACAAAAGGTACAGCACAAACAGCTTCTATAGTATAATTTACATTTTTGAAAAAATTGTCACCTGAAACGAGCGACCAAATTAAAGAAGTCATTAATGCATCTAAATCAGGAGATATACATATTTAACAAAGGGAAAAAAAAGGAAAAGGAAAAACTAGAACTAACCATAGACAGCAAAAACATGGGTTCCAGCCTTCAATTGATTTATTTCACAAGGTTGAAAGCCATCTAGCCTTTTAAAGAAAGCAGCATCAGCATCCTTGGCAGCCGCAAGCTTAAAGAACAAAAGGAACGGAGAAATTGAGCAAACATATAAGCTGAAAATAGAAAGGCAAATGTAGTATCTTCCACAGCACCATCAATTTACCGAGTTCACAGTTTGATCCAACCGATATGTAGGAAACCCAAGGAAATACATTCCAGCAGATGTGACTTTTCCTGTTTTAGTGCATTCCTCCTACACTCCAAACGTAAGCACATTGTTATACCAGAAATGGGAGAAAAAAGTGCTCAGTATTTATATGCATTTGGAATTCATCATATATAAGATTATCCATAGTCTTCCATTTTTGAGAGCACATCTACAACATGCACAACCCCAGAGCAGACAATCTCTGCAAATATGACTTCCTTATTGGTGATTTTAAACCATTCACCAAACGTAGAGCATAATGCTGTTTCTATACCTTCATTAGAAAACGTATCCAAGACATGCTCTAGGAAAAACATCCCCCAGACCCACAGGAGACTCAGCTACAGTAAAAGAAGCTTTTTGTGTAGACCACCGATGGGGAATAGCAATATGTAACAGAAGAATTTCTTAAAGATCCAAATCGGACAAACTGTACCTGTCCTACTAAGAAAAATTACGGATAACCAGAAGTGACAATTTTTCTGTACCTGTAAAGCAAGGCTCAATCCACGGTTTTCTTCCTGGTCAAAGTACAATAACTGCAAAGGCATTGAAGTAGTAAGACTAATGGTCAAATTAACTAGCCGGCAGAGATCTTCAGTGAATTTCTGTACAGGGATTCACTACTGTTTGATGTTACAAACCTTGAACTTGCTTTTTTCGGATGATTGCACTCGGCAAACAAAACCAGCTTTTGCTTCGTCCTCTGAGATTGTGACAGAATAGAAGTGAGCACTTTGCTTCTCAACCTGCTTCGAAGTGCAATCTCTGTGAGCACAAATGAAGTTGGTAAAACTAACATCTGAACCAGGAGATATATCGCACCTTGCGAGAAATTGGATGCCCGAGTTCAAGTGGGTAAATTGGAACCACACCATTAAGTGCTTCCTCCAATACAGTGGCTGATACTGTTGTCTTGATGGGCACACCAAGTTTACTACAAGATGACACAAATGCAAACATGAAAAATATGCTAATAGAAAAGCATTTCTGTAAGTCAAGCACAAGAAACTACATGTTAAACCAATGATTAAATCATAAGATCAATGAAATTACCTAAATAGTGCGGCAAACATAGTGTTCACAGCTCCTAAACTTGAGAGATCCAGTTCCAGATCTTGATTTTCTGCCTCAACAGCCTGATGCAACAAAGAGGGAGCATTCACATGACCCCAATCGGGGAGAAAATTGCAAGTTGCAAAATGCTTCTAACATCAATTGAGTTGCACTGGATCAGGAAAGCCCAGGCCAATGAATTATCTTGATATTTCCACACACAAAAAAAAAAAAAAAAAGACTTAATGTCATATACATGTCAGAAGATACACAAACATCCCTCGTCAGGATTCTATAACTGCTAAGGTAACACTCCAACAACCTTACCTCAAAACCAGCATTGTCAAATTGGCGTCTTTTGTCCGGATCAGACAGTATGCTGTATGAAAATGTAACTTCGTTGAACATATCAGCTGCTTTTGGATCGTTTGCATTCTTGTCAGGATGGTACCTGAGACACTATACCATCAGCGTCCGCACACTTGACTAGTTCAAAGAAAGTGGAATGTTCAAATTAAGAGAAAACAAAATGTAGGAGAAACAAAACAATTGCATAACCAAATCACCGTATACATGAATGGTGATTGTTAATCGTAGTTGCCACACATATTCAGTCGCAGGGATAATAGAATCACCTTTCCTGTGTGATATAAAAAAACAGCACGACCATAGCTAACATGTTTTGGATTCCCTTCGCCTCTACCACTAACCACATCAAGTACATCAAGCTCAATACCCGTTGTGATAACTCCAAATAGCAATCTATCAACCACGTCTACTGAAGGATGGTACAAAAACATGAAGTATTTCGGTTCCTTTAAACCTATTTTAAACTTTTTTCCAAGACATACAACCACCTAATCAGCAGTAAATTTATCAACCCCCCTGAAATCTAGTTAACCATGCTCTTCTACCTGCAGTGTCACGATTTATACGAGCATGTGCAATAACCTTGGCCCTTCTGCTATTCAGCTAATACAGCAAGAGGCCTTATTCATTTCACAGTTAGTCCCTCCCACCCACCAATCCAATTATCCTAGATACACCACCAAAACCAAACTATTTGAATCTCACAACAGTTTTAATTCCCAACTCCTTGCCTCTGGAGTCTGGAGCCACGAGATCAAAAGCTAACACCTTTTTGCTGCCAAAGGCCCCTCTTCTGTAAATCTTCAACCAGGTCCATTTGAAAAAGAGATAAAAATCCAACTTTGAATTCGAAGTTTCCATTTCCGGAACACAAAGGTAAGAAACTATTGCCCCGTGTTTGACTCAAAATTGACACTTCGCTGACAGGAACACATAGAACATCAACAATTTTAAGTAAAAAATCTACAAAAAAAACCCTGAGACTGCGAATTGCTCTGCTCAATTACAGGCTTTTCAATACTTACAACCAGAAAACCAATTCCATTAACTCCTAGAAGAGAAGAAAAGACTTCCAGAACCCAGAAAGATGCCTTAGCAAAGGATACAAGATAAAGGAAGCAGCAGCTTACTTGAGGGCCATTTTCCGATAAGCGCTCTTAATTTCTTGGTCGGAAGAGTTCCTCGAGATGCCGAGTACCTCGTAAGGGCTCCGTCGGAGCTGCTTCCCGGCATCCTCTTTCTCCGACTTCGATCTGTGGGCAGGCATTTCCAAATCGAACGTTCGACTGAATTAAAACCCCGATAACTGCAGAGGAAGGAGAAGCAACAAACCCTAACGAGAATCTTCACCAATGCAGCTCGAAGAATTTCTTAACATATCTCTATCAATCCCCGTGGGACTTTCACGTGGAGCAACATAAAAGAAATCGCCAACGTTCGAATATAAACGAAAAGGGCTAAAGAGCGCCAGGAAGAAAAACCCTAGAGAAGGATTGAGGGAGGGAAAGACTCCATGGGACCTCCTCCACCTGAGCTGGAGGCTGGAGCTAATATAGAGGGAGAGAGAGAAAGGCAGACGTAGAAAGGAATGAGACAAACCAAGCAAGGTAGCAATTTGGAGGGGAAATTAGGTGTCAAATCAAAAATTAAATAACATACATTTGACATTTACGTTCATAAGTTTTGATAAATTCAGAATGAAATATTTTTATGTTTGTTATTTAAAAAAATTTATTTTCAATTCTAAATTTTGAATTCTATAAAATTGAAACTAGTTATAGCAATTCCGATGAATTGAGATGGAATTTCCAAATGAATTCCTCAAGTATTTACTAATTATAATAAAATGACATAATTATCCTCTTTTATTAACTAAATTACTTATACATATGACATACCAAACACAAGAATTCATTTGACAATGAATTGTACACTGCAATTCATTTTATTTCTAAGGATTTGAATAAGACATACCAAACACAAGATTTCATTTGACAATGAATTCTACACGGTAATTCATTTTACAATGAAATGAATTCTCTATTCATTTGGTACCAAACGGTCTATAACTGATTCTTATAAATCTTGTATTTAAATAAAAATTCTTATTGCGTGAAACAATTATTTCGAAATGCACGAGAAAATATGATGATGAGATACATATTCTCGTGATACAATTGAATACAGAGAGGTATATAAGCTTTGATGTTTTTTTGTGTATCTTCTCTTCTTCTCTAGCCTTGCTTTTATAAGCAATGAGCAAGTCATTCTCATCAATGTAGCTAGGAGGAGGTTGGGGAGATGATGATGTGTAGGGTGGACATCCATGCAATGTATATATTATAATGCTCCCCTTAGATGTCCATAATTTGTAATACGCCTTTGTATACTGTCTCATTAAAAACCTTACCGGGAAAAATCTAGTGGAAAAAACCACAGTGTGTGGGGGGGGGGGGGGGGGGGGGGGGGGGGGGGGGAGTACAGTACATATGTACTCCCCCTCATCGTGACATCATTGAAGATCTTTGAATAGTCGAACTCCAATCTTGTGAACTACCTTCTCAAATGCTAAAGTAGGAAGAGACTTTGTGAATAAATCTGCCAGATTATCACATAAACGAATCTGAAGTACTTTTATTTCACCATTCTTTTGAAGGTCATGAGCGAAGAAATTTTTTGGTGAAATATGTTTTATCTGGTCCCCTTTGATGTATCATTCCTTCAATCGTGCGATACATGCTGCATTATCCTTCCTTCACATGTGTTAATACTCGACTTCTTCTATTTCATAATTTGTTGATTTGAATGAATGCTTAGTAGACATTTCACTCCTTTGAGGTGCAAGAATCGAAATCCAAGTCACTTAGGATTAAGATTAGAAATGGCGGTCCTTAGGGGTGTTCAAACGGATTGGTTACCGTGGTAACCATATTAACCGGTAGCATTCGGTTAATTTGGTTTGGTTACTTTGGATAATTGGTTTGGCTTGGTTAGGTTAAACAATTTAGCTTATTTGGTTTAGGTGGTTTGGTTTGGTTTCAACACTGCTAACCAATGAAACCAATTAACCAATTAATGATACACCTAATATACAAAATTATTTATACTTCCATGCAACCAACCAAACCAAACTTTCGTGATTCCCTATTTTATTTCCATATGCACAACAAACCAAAGCATTATGGGTAAAAAATTAAATGGGTTGCCTATTTACTAAACCAAAACATTTTGGACAACTACTAGACTTTAGGATTACATAAAATACCATGACAGTTAAACTCAAACTATCTATAGTTTAAGTGTTTTGTAGGGGAGCTTTATCTTCCTGATGAGTGGTATTGGTATGCATTTAATATTTAAGTTAAGGGTTTGTTGTAAGCTAACTATATTTGGTGCAGAGATGATGAATGGTGTATTAACTCCAATGATGATGATAATCATGGATGGTTAGTCTTATTATTATTGCTTATATATAATGATAATTATGTTTTTTTTGACAATTAATGATAGTTTATGATAGTAATAACATATGGTTATGTTTTATTCATTAATATGATAATTATTTTCATGTAACGTTATGTGAATTATTTGGTTAATCCGATTATCCAATTAACCAAACCAATTAAACTTTGGTTTGGTTAATTTGGTTTTGGTGTTAATTTGGACGGTTTGGTTAAGAAATTTTATTCCATGGTTAATGAAATTTAGGCTTAATTGGTTTGGTTATTACCACGGTAACCATTTGAACACCCCTAGGCCGGTCCTATTTGATTGATCTTCATTCGAATGAATGGCATGACACCTCAAGAGAGAAATTTGTAGGGTCCTTGTCGTGCATTAGTTCGGATAAATGCTTCAACACAAGGTGGGATCTAAAAGAATACAAAATCGACGGCTTGTATGTTGCCATATATTGATGGATACGTGATTAGGAGACCTAGGGGGAGCTTGCCTACGCAACGCCTTCCTTCTCTGCTCTCTCATCCATCCAACTTAGCTATAGGTTTACCTTTCTACACATTCTCTTTCTTTTCATTTTAGTTTTGCAAAACCGGAGGCACATCCGTCTCTTACATTGTTTTCAACTCAAATAGAATCGTACTTTACCACTAAAGTAAGGGTTTTCCAAGAGATCTACGGAAATACAATCTTGGTATTCGGGCATGTAAATTTAGTCTGTGCTACAATCTACGACAATCAAAAATTGACGTCATTTCTAGGGACATCTCGCAAACTTCGGAAAAGGGACTATGTATGAGTTCTATTTCTTCTTCGGATTCTATTGCTATTTTTTTCATGTCAAGTCTAGTTTTCTGATTCTAGTCGTATCGAGTAAGTTTCTGTTCACTCCGAGGGAATCAAAATCGGTCCCAGGCGCCTGAATTGCTATGATTTTGGCGTTCATGGCACCCTTTTTTAGGAGTAGCCTCTTTCTAAACATTGATTGCATCTCGCCATACCTTTCAACTGTCCATATTCTCCCAAAGTTCCACCCCTACGAATAATGAGATTCTAGGAGCATATGAGCCTAAAATCATGGACATTTGGGCTGTTTTCAAGTTTGACGTACCCAGAGCACACCTTAATTCATTCAAGGTGGCCAACCTTACTACTAACTAGGAATAGAGGAATCTCTCATTCATGAACTCTACTACATGAAACCCTTCTTTTGTTTCCCTCATGAGAATCCATTAAACCATCTCCATAAGATTCAAGCCCTATTAGGATCAGAATAGTGTTTCAAAGAGGCACCCGAATATATGGGGTTATAGGGCTATTCCACTATACTCTAAAAAGGGCACCAAGAGATGGTTCAACAACTTGCCTCACGAAGTCGCCCTTATTTGGGATGAGCTAGTTCAAACATTTCTCGATAAATACGCTTGGCCGTGGAGTAAATATTTTCTAGCACATAAAATTCTAAACTTCAGACAAGGAGATTTGGAGCCTCTCTACCGATACATGGGGTAATATCGATGACTATCCCAATCATAATTTTGAGCCTTTTCAGCTTGCTCACTTGTTCGCTGACGGACTGAACCATGAGTCAGAACAGTTCTTGCACTTTATTTTTTGTGGCAATATCTGGGAGATTCCGAGGAATCAAAAATTGGGGAGATTCGCATATGCCAACGAGCTATATCGAAGAGGAGCCTACTCGCACCTTAGGGCAAGAGCTATCCTTCTTAAGGGCAGTCAAACTAGTAGGCAGAAAGTGATCCTCGCAATAGGATCATTGATTACCCTGAACGTATGAACACTTCAATGCCCATCTATGGTAAGGTGCCAGTAGTCTAATCACCATTAGTAGAGACTGTCAACTCAATCTCCTCCGTCGTGACAAAAACTCAAAATGAAGAACAAACCATAGAGGAGATGGAACACGGGCTTGCTCTCATAGAGGCACGTATAGCTGAGCTAGAAGCCGAGTTGATCAATTTTTGCAATGCTCACCTATGGAAATCAGGTTGAAAACGATCGTATTTAAGGTTCATCCCATCGGGGAAGAGGTTAAGGCGGCAAGCTGGAAAGAAATAAACATTCTTTGCGTTAATACATGATCTAGGGAGGCTAGTGTAGGGGCTATAAAGGATGTCATTGTCACGAGACTTGAATCCATCTTAAGAACGTAAGGATTGGTGCTTCATACCATCATTATTGAGTTCTCAAACTCCTCCTCAAAGAAATGAGTCTTCTACGCTTAAAGCTAAAATGGGGTCGATATGTATCTTCATACATCCGAAATCATACCATGTCAAGTCTAAATCAAAAGATGATGTTTCCACCAATTAAGTGTGGGGTAAAAGCCAAGTTTGAAGCGTCCTATCCTTGGAAAAAATGGGTTTTGAAAGAGATACTAGTTAAGTCTTTGTAGGGTAGTCCTATGAGATTATGTTATTTCCTCTCTATTACAAATAAAATTTCCACCCGTGTGATAGGATTGCCAACTTAAGAATGTGTTTTCAAGGGCATGGATAAAGCTCCAAGACCCCCTTGACTTCATTGACCCTCCGCACAATCGAGGAAAATGAGCTGGAAAAAAAAAACCAATCTTGCTTAATCAAGGCTTGCTGAGTACCAAAGCACAAAGTAGAATAAACCCCCTTCTATGCATTAAAGGGTATGTTGTGTGCAAAGCGGCGTCGCATGCATGATCGCCTTCATGTGAAAAAATTTCAAAATATTTATGTGGCTAGGGATACAAATACTTCCTAATCAAGCTACATAAGCTTCCCTAATCCTCATATATGAAGACCCAAGTAAGAGAAAGAGAACTCCATCTATTGAGAGGCAAATCATTTTGTCCTTATGAAGTACGTTTCGAGCATCATTGCAAGGATCAAAAGTTTCTGAGTGCAAGAATTGACCTTGAAAGCTTCTTATGATCCAATACCTAAGATCGAAAGTCACGTGTCATCGTAGAGGTCTAGTGAGTTGAAGGATGTTGAGTTCAGGTGTGCTTGGGGACAAGCAAAGTTCAAGTGAGGGGTTATTTGATGACACACATAATTGACTATTCTATACCTCCATATTATGATTAAAAGTGCATTAATTTTATATCATCATTATTATTATTATTATTATTATTATACCTTAAATTCGTGTTATGATGGCTTCAAGTGTGTTTTAGCAACCCTAGGATTTCTTTTGAGGGTTTGATGCACTTTTGGTAACACTTTATGCATTTTCAGTTGAAAGGAGTCTACTGGACCACTTGATAGCCAAAGGGGACATTGAGATCCAGTTGTTGGAGTCGAGAATCAAAGAGAAGATGGGCTTAAAGAAATGGCACAAAAAATGGTGCCCATGATGAGAAACAGCGTCGTTACCGCCATTTTACACAACACCTCTACTTTATTAGAAATTTACATGGGAGCTTCTTGATTCGCTGGCCATGAGTTAGGAGACTTCAGATTGACTGGATGATGCAGTAGTTACGAGGTTCTCTCCTTAGAAAGCCGATCAAAGGCCTATAAATAGACCCCTATAGATAGAAATGAGGAGAAGGAGATGAGATTTCAAGGAAGGGATGCTACTTTGCCAATAGAGCGACTCACTTGACCTAGAGAGAAACCAACCAGAAAGGAGGAATCGATGCCATAAATGGCAGCACTTGCCTCCGTTTCTTTTTTGTGGCTGCCGATTCCAGTGGTATTCTAGGGAATTTGTTTTACTCGATGATCGTCTAGAAACCCTTCCTCATGGTTGGCTTAGTTCCTTTAGTTGCATAGGTATGTAACCCCTAGGGGTTCTGGTCATGTAAAACTCGATGTTTGGCATAATATGATTATTTTATTTTCATATGTGTCGATGCATGATTTCCTCTATTTTGTTATTTGACGATTCGAATGAATGCTTAGTCAAACTTGCACTCCTTTGAGGTACAAGGATCCAAATCCAAGTCACTTAGCGTTAAGACTAGAAATGGTGGTCCTATTCGATCGATCCTTATTCGAATGAACGACATGACACCTCAAGGGAGAAATCCGTAAGGACCTTGTTGCCCATTAGTTCGGGTAAATGCTTTTACGCAAGGTGGGATCTAACGGAATAGGATATCAACAGCTCATATGTTGTCGAATATCAAGGGATACGTGACTAGGAGAGCAAGGGGGAGCTTGCCTATGCAACACCTTCCTTCTCTGCTCCCTCATCCATCCAACTTAGATATAAGTTTACCTTTATAAAGAATTTTGAGATTGGGTACCCACGAGTTTACCCGTTTGGGCAGTATGGGTACCCGTAATACCCATTATATTAATTTCATATACAATATCATAGCTCAAAGTCCAGCCACACGAGCACACTACAGGTGAGTGTAATAGAGATGTGAGAAGAATTCCGATCTTTCAGTGGAAGATACATGCATCTCACCACATCCGACTACCATAATGCCAGCAACACCAATGAGGAGAATGCGGATGAGTGAGAGGAGAGAAGTCTAGGAACTCCATGATTTAGATTGTGTTTTTGGTTGTGGAATTTGTTAAGTCTTAAAGATTATTTGGTTTAAAGCAACTATGATCGTGGATTGATATTAAGTCGTTGTGGTTTTTTATTTTAGGTATGTGTGAACTATTGTGAGGTGTGTTTTATTGTATTTGGTGTTAGTGATTAAGCTATTAAGAAGTTATGGTTTCTTGCTATTATGATTGCAAATTGAATTTGTTGGTTTCTATCGTAATTTTTTAGACCAAATAAAGTACATGCATCGACAGGCATAAGCACAAAATTCAAAGGTCGTAGGTTTATTTCACTGTAAGTGGTCGTCCACAAAATCAACATTTTCCTCTACGTTTCACTTCAAGAGGGATAGATTGATTTGTCGTCGACTCTTCTTTTATCTGGTCAACCTATTGCTGAAAATGGTCGGCCTCATTGCAGATATGATACTGATCATTTTGCTAATGACTACCCTGAAGTGGTCGACTTTTTTTTTACGGTCCACCATTTTGTATATGATTAAATTGAAAGGTCGACCTATTTCCTATTGTGGTCAACCATTTATTGTATGACTGTCTCAAATCGATCGACCAATTTTTTTTGTTGTGGTCGACCATTTTGGTAATGGTGCGATCATCACAAACTCTCCCCTAACTTTCTCCTCCGCCAATTGGCGACGTGGTCATTGTAAATAACGGCAAAGGAGAAGATGTCATCGATCTCCATCCCATCACGGGAGCCCAAAGACACAAAGCAGTTCGTCGAGGGCAATGGCGAGAGAAGAAGGGACATCGATGACGGTGGAGGAGGCAATCAGTGGTGACGAATTTGAGAGACCGAGAGGGTCGTCATCAGATTCATCAAATCCGAAGCCGACAAGGCCACTCACGCCTTAGATCTACTTTCGCCATTGCCACCCCCTCTACCTCGACATGGTGGCCGGTTACAGGGAGATTCCTTTCAAATCGGCGGCGGGAGAAGTGGGTCGCTGAGGGTGAGATGCGCTTGACCACTGATAAAGACGAAATCTTATAAATGGAAGAAGTAAAAAAAAAATCATTTTGTGTAGTAGTGATGAGAAGTCAAGTCTTGGTTTTATCTAGATTTGTAGTACTAGCTTTTCAGATATATGGCAATGATTCTCAACAATAATGATTTATAGCAGTAGCTGCGATTTTACAGATTTGATAAAGTTTTTCCAGTAGTGATGTGGCCCGTATGAGTAGTAGTGATTGTGCAGTAGATTATTTCCCCCCCTGTAGTAGTTTCCTCCTAACTAATCACACTAGTAGTAATTATTTAATCATTACCTTCTAAAATCACCAATTATGAGTAATTCAAAATTTCTAAATTACTACCGATAACAATTAAAATCACTAGTAGTACTTTACACTACCTTTCTAGTCGCAGTAATGTGGTAGATCCTACTTTGTTTGCAGGTACGTGTTGGCTACTGTGGAAAAACCGGAATAGCCTCTTGTTCGAAGGTGAGCTGAAGACCTATGCACAAATTCAGTTCGACGCAAAGAAGCTAAAGCAGCGGATTCACACGACATTTGAGCAAGAAAGTCGCATTTTCGGAGCTGGGGGACTCCGGGAACGTCGACTCATTGGCTGGCAACCACCTCAAGCTGGCTGGCTGTGCGTGAATACCAATGGCTCAGTGATACAAGCACACGAGAGCACAATGTGTGGAGGAATCGTGAGGGAAGACGATGGCCGATTCATTAAAGCTTTTTCAGCGAACTTTGGAGGGGGTTCAATCACTCGAGCAGAGCTGGCTAGAATTGTGCATGGGTTGAAGCTTGCTTGGGAAGAAGGGGCTAGGAAGGTGACTCTTTAGACAGACTCCAACACGGCGATTACTCTCGTTGAACCTGCAACGACCAACCACCCACATTACACGAGTGTTGCTGAGATTCGTCGCTGGCTAGAGAGACCTTGGCAGGTCAAGATTGAGCATGTGTACCGTGAGGCAAACTACGTTGCTGATTATTTATCCTCTCTTGGACACACCCTTGCTGTAGGGATGCACATTTTCGATGTTCCCAGTACCATGTTGTTGTACTGGTTGTACTTTGATCGTGTTGGGGCTCAAACGCCCATATTGCTTTAATGCATTAAGGTTGGGGCGCCCTTTAAGCGCCCTGTTTTCTACCAAAAAAAAAACACTAGTAGTACTAACAGTATAACATTATAACCAAAACCACTACTAATTAAAGTAGAGTGATTTCCAGTAGTAATATTTTTCACGTCTAAAATAAATCTCTATTAAAAATAAGAGAAAATGTTTTAAAATTTAATTTATTAATTTAATTAATTTTTTGATATGCCGAATATGCCCCTTCTTACTCCCCACCATCATATTTAAATTAAAAGTAATGAACGGTGATTATAGTGGTTAGTACGAGAATTAGCATTCTAACTCATCTCAAATGGTGTTCGATTTGACTTTTGAGCTTGTTATTCTACAAGTGAATATTAAGCAATCTGGATTTTTCCCACAAAATAACCCCATCAAGCAATCTGGATTTTTTTTCTAGACTATGATAGTCAAGTTCGTTGTTGTTTTTTTCTTTTTCTTTCTATTTTTCCCCATTCTATCAATGGACTTGAATCATCATCATCAGCTTCGAATATTAGCGAAGCCTAAATAACATTAAAAAAAAAATTAAAAAGACTAAAAGAAACAATAAGTATTCATCATAATGAAGTAGCATTCCCGCCTCCTACCTAACTCGATCATATGGGTCCGTATATGTAATCTAAAAATTAACATCACTGATTAATCACTTAATCACAATTCCGCACATGAATTAATTAATTAGAATTCCTATTGTAACCTCAGCCCCAACTCCAGATCCAAATCAGTTCTCCCCCTGGAACCGGCCGCCGCCTTCCCCGACCTCCGACCACCACCGCCGACGGGACGATGATGCGTCAAAGTAAACCCGCCCCGATGCTCATCATTATTACTAACATCGTACCCAGATAAATAATCCGGACGATGGTTAAAGCTAATCTGACGGCCGCCGCCGCCAATCTCATCATCATCGCACGACGAGGTAGCCGGTTCGTAGAACCACCGGGCCGCCGTCGTCGTCGGGTTAGGCGGCGCGTGAAGGTAGAAGCTGCTGATGGTGGCGCGCCTGGCTTGTAGCTGGAGCCGCTTCTTCTTCATCCGCTCCTTCTTGTGCGCGTTCTGATGCCCTCCCATCGCCTGCGAGTTCGCGAACTCCTTCAAACAGTACTCGCACCGCAACCTACTCCTCGACGGCGGCGGCGTTCTGTTCGCGATCTGTGCGGTGCTGGAGGAGGAGTTCACGCTCTCGTCAGCTTCGGCGGCGGCCGCCGGAGGATGGGTTTGGCCGTGGATGGGTTGGTTGGGGTCGAACTCGAACCCGAAGAGCTTGAGCTTGAGCTTGTTGGTGTTGCCGCCAGAGGAGGAAGATTCGGCGGAGGTGTTACTGTTCATTTGATCGACGGTGGAAGAGTATTGGGTTCTGGACATTTTCTTTTTGTGGACGAAGGAAGTGTTTGTTTGTTTGTTTGTGAATGGTGTAGGGTTGGAGATAGGTTTTATAAAGGGGAGAAGTTGATTGCTTATTAATTTATTTTTATTATAATAATTGTGATGTGGGTTTTTTATTCTATGTTATGAAATAGTTCTTTGTACCTGTAAATTATTGAGGAGTAGTGTTGGTGGTGGTGAATATATTAATTAATTTGTTAATTTTGAGGTTCTCTGTAATCATGAATAGGAGAAAACGTACAAAAGGGGTCAAAATATATAACTGCATTAATCAATGAATAAACGGGGAGGAAAAGTCAGATCAAAGGAAGCCGTCCCATGCAAACATTAGTTTATTATTATATACTTGATTTGCTTTCTAGCTTGCTCTTTGTTTCCGTAAAAGTATATTGTTTATGTATCACGTTTCTTTTATAAATGGTTTTGTCTCACATGTATATTTACTTAAAGACAACCTAGTTTGAATTTTGTTTAAAAAGACCGTGATAGTTGGAATTTTCAAATACGATGATCGTGACTGAAGTTTGAATTAATTGATGGATACTATGATGAAACTATATATAGTTGCTCACTTTATATATGGAATCGATGTAATATTTCCTTTTACATCCTTATTCTACGAACGTGTCTGGTTGGATAGGCACTTTACCAGATTTTGGCGAGGGTGAAGCAAGCACAACGGTGTTTTCATGACTGAGTGGTCTGGAAGTCGTTGTGATCGAGCAAGCATATATGAGGGGTTCAATCAAACATTGTCGACAAAGGTAGTTTGGTTGATATGGAAGGAACCTGATTCGCTTCGAATGGGTTGTACAAGTGGATGTATTTTCAGAACTCTTCGTCTTGAATCCATGTCCAGGATCCTTACCATCGTGGGGTTGGCAAGTGGTATTCAGGGGTCGGGATTTGCTTGTTAAGGGACTTAGATGGCAGATTGGATTAGCTCCGAAGGTGGAGGTTCCAGTTTGGTTTTGCTTGCTCAATTTCGTTTCAGGTTGCTGAGTGGGATGCTATTCTGGATAGCTAGGGTACTCGATCATGTTAGATCATTACAGGGCCGAGGTGCATGGAGTCTATTCCTATGGGGAGTCAATAATTTTTGTTGATGGGAATACAATGCACATACTTAATAAACATCTTTATATATGATTTCCTAAGAAATTTTAGGAGTGAGAAATTCACATAATTTTTAATAATCCGTGAAAAACATGTTCATCCATTAATTTCAAAGGACCGAGAATTTGGTTATGCGGAGTTAGATTGTGCGCAATGTAGGATTCATTGGGTTAGCCTTTCTATTATTATTTGATCAAGTGGCACATTTCCATGGGCGTGCAACCAAATATATTGAATAAAATTAGGTAATGCTTAATCATTCAAATTAATTAATTAAATTGTCACTTGTGCATATTTAAAATAAAACAAACTACCACAAGTCAAAGAAAACAAAGATATAAATGGAGGGATGCAATCACCTGGAAGGTAGGTTATCATTAATTAATTAATTTCTCGATTACTTTGTTGTAACAAATCTCCCAATCCACTTAAAAATTAAGTTGCATATCTTTGAATCATTGGATTATATAATATTAGTGGGATGTCAAGTCCCATCCATCTCCTAATTATGTGTTTTGAGAAAAGGTTGAATTGTGTAGAAATCTGATGATTCAGCAATCTAGATGAACCTTCTTCTGCGAATATGTGCATACAGGAAAAATATATTTATATCCCCCGTCAACCCAATTCGACCATGGTGCTTCCATTTCCATCTCCATTCGTAAGGGCGTGCTTACATGGTTTACAATTGTTCCACCCAACGTTAGGTGTTCTACGACCGTGAAATATTGCCAATTTTGCAAATAAAATATAACACGTTTGAACAACAATTTTGAAGCACCCATCACTAAATCAAATAATGATGAACGCAGTAAGCTGTAAGCACCATAGTCAAATTCTCAACACCCAATAGTTAAAGTAGGAAAAGCTTTTTAATTAATACTTTAAAGTTTGTCCATCTTGAGTTCTTGACCATGTATTGGGGGAATGACATATTATATGGTTGATTAATGCATTAATTAATGGAGAGTAGTTGCTCTCACCAAAGAAGGAATAATGAGAAGTGAGCAATGATGTAAGCATATATATTAATAAAGAGTCTCCTATGAGATCTGATCATATCTTCTTACAATTGGCAAACCCCATATATTATATTGATGCTAAAATATGACCAAAAGCATATGTTTCTCAGCTCAGGTGGTGAATCAAGTCATAAACTATGCATTAAATTGATTATTAGGAGGGTATTGTGTAGTGTAGGACAGTTGTTAATTGATAAGTGGGGCCGCACCATTATCTGTTTTTAATTGCATTGTTGCGTCGAGGAACATGATTGAAACTTATTAGATTGTGTTGTTTATTCCTTTGTCTATACTAAATCTCACCACTAATTTAATTATATATGTTTTATTAAAGAAGTGTGTTACGTTACATCTCTCAAACTCACAAATTCTCAATCCTTTCGTTTGTGATTTGCTTTTTTTTTTTTTTAAAGAGAAGTCTGTTCTTCCATCCATGCTTTCAGACTCTTTTTGGCTTCTAGAGATAACAAAAGAGGGCTGATCCCATGACTAAGGGGTCCTTAGTCACTTGACTAAGTCCCTCCTTGTCATTAAATCTGGACACTTCAATTCAACGGTTAAAAAGTGGGAAGATATTTTTAATTAGTGGGAGGGATAATTTGGGTATTATGAAAAATTACGAAGTATACAAACCAGACTTACAAACGAGACAAACAATACAAACAGTACAAATTATAACGACAAGACATACAAACAGATTTACAAACATTACAAACATATGAACTGTACAAACAATACAAACTACACCGACAAACAATACAAAAAGAAAAAACAACCGGGTTGACTTTGGAGGCTCCATCCCTATATAAAGGGGCTCCCTTCCAACGTCAACCCGGTTGTTTTTTAGACATACGAACATTACGAACATGGTGGATACAAATGACAAACTAGATTGACAAAACATACAAACAAAAAAACACCCGGGTTGACTTTGGAGGCTTCATCCCTATATAGAGGAGTTTCATGTTAAAGTCAACCAGATTGTTTTTTAGACATAAAAAACATCACAAACATGGTGCACAAAAATAACGAAGTTTACAAACATTACAAAAGTAACCGACAAACATTACAAAATAACAAAGCTTATAAACATTACAAAAGGAATCGACAAACATTACAGATTACAATATATACAAAATAGTCATATAAATATTACAAACATGATAGATAAAAATGACAAACAAGAATAATAAATAATACAAAGCGAATTGATATAAACAATATAAACTGAACTTATAAACATTACAATATAGGTTGACAAACATCACGAATCCAGCACTGTTGCCGGAAAATCATCCACCACTATCTCTAATCGCCGAAAAAGTTGAAAAGAAATCTCTCTCTACTAGGGGCAGAGAGAATTTCCTAGGATAGAATGGCCACCCCTCCCCTAGGAAAAATGGCCACACGCTGCCGGAGGATAGGACGGCGGGACCGGAAAAAATGGCCACGCCCTCGGAGAAGGGAGACGCGATGGTAGTGAAGGGCTGTATTTTTTATTTATTTTAATTGATAAATAAAATTAAATAATTCTTGTAATTACTATATTGTCATTCATTTAAATTGATTAGTTTGAGCCATTAGAATTTAATGAGGTTGAATGGTTGAAATTAACTTAGTAATGTGACTAAGGGACCCCTTTATACACCTGATGTTAGTCCTTCTATAGATAACAAAACCCAGCTGTTTTACTGCCAATTCATTATTCATACTTTCTTATTATTTAAATACAAAAAATTATAGGATGCCTCCAAAATCTAAGCAAGCAAAATCCAAATCCTACTAGAGAGTTGATAAGGTGCATACCCTATCAATAAAACATTTCACCTTCTAATTTTTAACGAATTTGGACAAAAATAGAGGTTGACCATATTAAAAAAAAATTATAAAAAAAAGACTTTGATTAATCAAAAGTCTCATCTCTCTTCACTAAAATTCGTGTAATTCAAAGACTAAAACAAACAAATCAAGTAGGAATTACCAGATCACTCCTCTGGATCCTAATCCAAATTAATAAATCGTCCCAATTAACTGGTATGAGGTTACTTTATGCGTTGTGCTGGGAGATTTGAAAGTAACGAAATGCTAGAATTTTCAAGGATGAGTTGAAATCGTGGAAGGTGATCGTTCATAGGATCAGGAGGAGCCTCCTCAATCGGGGAGCTGTGCACAGAAGCATTAGTACACTTAGTAAGAAGATTAACGAACCAGACTCGTTTTTTATTCAGGAGCTTGCTTGTGGTTTTAGGTGTAATTGGTTCTGTGTATACGTATAATATGTTGTTCTACTATTTTTTACATCAAACATCCCTTTTATTATTTCGTTTTATCAAATATGCTCCTAATATTTTTTTTCCCCTTCTTATCTTCCCTTCTGCCCTTCTCGGATCACTTCTGGCGATCTGGGATGGGTGTGCAGACCTTGTTTTCTTTTCTTTTTCAGGTTTGAGTAATATATTCACCCTTATATAAAAAAATAAAAAATTGGGATGGACATTTGTAGATTAATGTTTTGCACGAATTTTGTACTAATCAACTCCCTAGCAGATAATAATCTAAATGTTAAATTCAGACCTGCAAAACCTGAATGGCTTGTATCTTAATTATGAAATGCTGCTACTACGGTGATCTTGATTGATTTGAAGGATGTATTATCCATTAAGAGCCCGAAAGGTGTTTCATGTATGAGTTTGCACTTTGCACTATAACTCATGGCCTCTCCAACTAAGGTTTCGTTTGGAAGGATTAATTAATTGTATGGTATTTGTTAGGTGAAATAACTCAGAAATAACAAGTGTGGTATTTGTCTATTATTTGGGGGAATTCAACCATAAAATTATGTTGTTTAGATGAACCATATAAATTAATTATTTAACTTATGATATTTGTAAGAAAATACTATGATACCCTTGTTATGAAGGATGGATCATTTATATACTTAATCCCACCAACAAATCCCTAATCATATTGGTCTTATATCACAATCCACTCCCATGGTAAGACAATCTAATGATACACATACCCTATGTTTGGTCAAGCTTTTAGAAGTGTTTTTCGCCTTCAAAAGGTTAAGGCAGGGCCAAACACATCTAAAATTTTGGATTTTGAAAAGCTAAAAAGGGCTTGAAAAGCTGTTCTGAAAATACAAGATTATCCTTATCAAATTTTAATTTTATTTCAAAAAATCTAATTTTATTTCATTTATTTTATTTTAAAAATAAAATAAAATTTAAAACTATATTATTTAAAATAAAATAAATCTAACAAGAATACAAGATCCATATTGACTACTTTTTATTGTTTAGAATTTTTATTCATATTTTATACTATAAGTCCTTTATAGTAATTTTACACAGCCTCTCATATCAAAAATAACTTCTAATAGTTTTTCAACCAAACACTCAACTGTTTTTTTTTTTTTTTTGAAAAATACTTCTCTAAAAGTTTAAGCCAGAAGCTACTTCTCCAAAAACTACAACAGGGCCAAACTATCCCATAATACCACTTGTCATCTAACTTTGCATGAAAATCATTGTTAGCAACTACATGGTATGTAATGGTACATCATACATATATCATGTGTATTTTTTTACATCAAGACAACTACATACATGCATCAGCATACATCATACTCAGTTTCGTCTAAAGTTTTATGGGGATTAAGCATTGGACCTTGTTGATGGAGAACCTGCTTCGATCCAAGTAGAATTGGGTTGTGACTAGCCTTGGTTTCAAAGAACCAGCTGCATGAGAAGAGCTCACTGGAGCTCAGCTGAAGAACTTAGAAGAGTTGAGGTTGAAAGACCGGAAAGCCAAGAACTACTTATTCAGTTCCATCGACAGAACTCTTCTGAAGACAATTGCAAAGAAAGGCATTACAAGAGAGCTATGGGAATCCATGAAAGAGAAGTTTCAGGACATTCCTAGGGTGCAGAAGGCACAATTACATGTACTCAGACGTAATTTTCAACTCCCTGAAATGGATTAAAATGAAACTGTGTCTGAGTACTTTGGCAGAGTCATGGTGATTGCAAACACCATGAGAAATTGTGGTGAAGACATGCCCGACGAGAAAATAATGGAGAAGATTCTCGGAACATTACCCGATAATTTCAATTATGTGATTTGCTCTATCAAGGAATTCAAAGATATTGATCTCCTAACAATTGATGCACTTCAAAATTCTCTTCTGGTGCATGAACTAAAATTCAACAAAAAGTTTGTCACAACTATGATAGAAGAGGATCAAGTTCTTAGGATTTCTCTTGAGCATGAAAGAGGAGGAAGAGGTCAAGGGAGAGGCTTCTATCCAGGAAGAGGTAGAATTAGAGGCAGAGGTGGAACAAAGAAGCAATTGAGTGCTTCAGGTGCCACAAACTGGGGCATTTCAAGTATGAATGTCCTGAGTGGTACAATGACCAACATGCTCATTATGTTGATTCCACTAAGGTGATAACAAGAGCACAAGAAGATCTGAAAGATGATATGTTGCTCATGGCATCGATCCCAAAGATTCAATAGAGTTGGAGTAGGAGACACTAGGACTGATGGCCCTACTAGAAGAGGTGAAACAAGACAAGCATGAGCAATGTTGGTTTCTTGACTCAGGGTGCAACAACCATATGACTGGGGACAAGAGGTGGTTCTAATCTAGATAATGGTGCTAATGTAACTGTAAGGCTTAGAAATGATATCAAATTGGAAGTGGTAGCAAAGGGAAGTATTAAAATTGAGGATGCCGAAATGCATTTGATTATTACTGATGTGTTCTACCTTCCTGGTCTCAGAACAAATCTCTTGAGCATTGGCCAACTGCAAGAAAGGCTTAGCCATTCTTATTAAGGATGGCAGCTGCAAAATCTTCCATGGAGAGAAGGGTTTGCTTCTGCAAACTGAGATGAAATCGAATAGGATGTTTGTCATCCATTATGAACTTGGAATAACTCAACAAGAGGCACAATGCTTCCAAACTGCAAGCAGTGGGGAGAAGGAACTGGCCTTATGGCATAGAAGGTTTGGTCACATCTACCACAAGGATATGCAATAGCTGAAACAGAAAGGCTTTATGGTCGATTTGCCACAGTTGAAGGGTGAACTAGGAGTCTATGCTACTTGTCTCAAAGGCAAGCAACATAGGAAACCTTTTCACAAGAAAACAAGTGGAGAGCATGTGAAAGGATGCAACTGATTCATGCGAACCTATGTCGACCTCTTACTCCAATGTCAAATGGTGACAAAATGTATATTCTTACCTTAACTGATGATTTTAGTAGAAAGCTATGAGTCTGTTTTCTATCTGCAAAGTCAAAAACTTTGGATTGGTTTAAGAAGTTTAAGGCTCAAGTTGAGCAAGAGACTGGTTTAATGATTCAAGGATTGAGGACTGCTAGAAAACGGGAATTCATGCTCACTGAATCATAGATCTTTGTGATGATCTAGGCATTAAAAGACAATTCATTGCTACTTTAACACCCTGGCAGAATGGGGTGGCTGAAAAAAAAAAGAATAGAACAATGCTAAATATGGTGAGATGCATGCTAGTAGACATGAAGGTACCTGTTGCTTTCTGGCCAAAAGCTGTTGCTTGGACCACTCATGTCCTCAATAGGAGTCCAAGTAGTTAAAATCCCGATTTAAATCCTAAAATCCTACGCTTTTACGATCTTACTTACCTATTTCGATTCTGATTTCACTATGAAATCTATGGACCTTAAAATCCTCCACTATTCACGATTTAAATCCTTAAAATCTTTAAAATCTCACGATTTTACGATTCAAATCTTTGAGTCAATTTTACTTATTTTCCCTAAAATTTGCAAAATTACGCCTCTTTTTCTTCTCCTCCACCAACATCATCTAGTTCTCTCACACTAACCACCATGGACTATAATCAATTGACATCAACGTATTGATCTCATTGATTCACCACCTCTTAACATTAATCTTGATAAATTGGAACATTAACCTTGAAAAATTATCATTGTAAGTGTTATGTGCTTTTGTGTTATTCATGATTTTCCTTACTAATATTATTCCGTCTTGATTTTTATATGGACTTTAAAATCCTACGATTTTAAGATTCGATTTTACGATTCCAATTTTACCCTCATTTTCGATTTTACATAAAATCCCGATTTTGACTGCTTTGGGTCCAACAACAACTAATGGTTGAAATAGACCACAATATCTGTGGACATGGCATCCTCCCTCAGTCTCACACTTCAAGGTTTTTGGATGCACTGCATATGTGCATGTTCCCAACCAACAAACAAGAAAGTTAAATGAAAAGAGCACCAAGTGCCATTTCCTAGAATCTCAGCAGAATCCAAGGCCTACAAGCTTTACAATCTCAAGGCCAAAAAGGTTGTGATTAGTAGAAATAAAGTTTTTTTTATAAAAGCAAAGGTTGTGAATGGAATTCTGAAGTGCAGTCAGTACTAACACAACTATACTGGAAGGAAGTGATGAAGAATGGGGTGACCTGGATGTAGATAGTGATGAAGAAGATTCCCCTAATCATGTTGTGATAGTACCTAATCCAACTACACAAACAGAGATCCTCCCGAGTCACCAAAGAATGTTGAGAATGAAGAAGAAGAATAATAATAGGAAAAAGAAACTACAGATGTACTGGGACTACCAAGTCCAAGTCTGACTTTGGGGAAAAGAGCAAGTAAGCTTCCTAGTTCCTAGTCGTTTTCAGAACTTTAATATGAGCTTTGCATACACTGGTTGGCTAGTTGTGGTAGCCATCACAGATGACCCTCAATCTTTTGAGGAAGTTGTTCTTGATCTCAGTTGAAATGCAATAATGTATCAGGCAGTGGACTCAGTAAACAATAACAATACTTGGACTCTTACTGCTTTGCCTGAGGGATTCCAGGTCGCCGGTCTTAAATGGGTATACAGAAACAAGCTCAAAGAGGACAACAGTTTGGATAAGAAAAAAGCAAGAATTATTGCAAAAGGCTATGCACATTGACGTACGATTTCACATTAATAAGTTGTTGATATAATGACTAAGCCTCTAAAACTTGAAGTGTTTCAACTATTGAGGAGCGAAATGGGTGTCTCTGATGGAGCAGACATTCATTCTGCATTTTGAAGACTAAAGTTGATGAACTGAAGATGAGAGAATGACTTTAGTTCAGGGGAGGACTTATTAGAGAAGAAGAGAAGGCTTCTAATCCGAAGCTCTAACGGATTTGAAGTCTGGCCCCAAGAAGAGAGTTCAAAATAAATTATGTGTAATAATTAGTAAAACTACATCGTTGTGATTTAGTTCATTTAGGATTTTGAGTTGTATTATGTTGCAATTGAGTCCTTTTTTAGTCTGTTGAGGGTTTTTAGCTGGAGAATCAAAACACAGCTAGTTAGTTATTTTCTAGTAGCTGGAATCTAGTGTTTAGGAGTTTTATTATGTTGCAATTGAGTCCTTTTCGAGTATGTTGAGGGTTTTTAGTTGGAGAATCAAAACACAGCTAGTTAGTTAGTTTCAATAAAAATTTCCAAATTTACATAAGTTCTGAGTTCTACCCTATTCCCGTGGCAGCAACCAACACTAAACCTAGAAAAGAATTAAAAAAAAAAGATCACAAAGTTGCAGTAGCAACAGGCTCTTAATAATTGGTAATGGTTGCTGACACAAAGATGTCCTAATACACCAATTTTCCAACCACACCTCTGTGACAACTTAAAGATTATCCAGAACCAGACATCCTAGAAGATGATGATAGCACAGAAAAGAATATAACCCTAATTCATGCATCTAGAACTAGAACCCTTGAATCTCCAAAACATAGCCCTCAATTCCCCCAATCCATAATAACCAGAACACCCAATTCCCCAACCCATAAAACCACACAACCAAAACAAAGGGAGAAATTTCATCTATGAACCTAACGATTTTTCTACAATTTCTCGAAACTTCATCCATTTTGTCGCCGTCGGAGCTTCTTCCTATCGAATTGAGCCTCTTGCATCCTTTATTTCAATTTTGTGAAGCCAAACAAGTTATTTGGGCCCAAATAACTCATTCAGACTCATTTAGACGACTAGGGGTGGACAACGGGACGAGACTGGATACCCGTCCCGCTTGAAACAGGCACCCAGTCCCATTTGAAACGGGTACCCAGTCCCATTTGGAGAGAAAACTTCATACCATGTCCCAAACTCGTACAGGTTAACAGGTACTCATTACCTATACGGAACGGAAAACGGGTACCCGCAGGTAACCCTGTGAGAACCTCGCTTCTAGGGATTCTCGATACTAATCTTCGGCACTCGGGATTATACGTAACAAAGAGGGATTTAGGGATTGAGATAAGGAATTAGGGATTTAGATGAGAAAGAATAGAATTGGGAATCGGCCGAGGCCTTGGACTAGGATGAGACGAGAAATTAGGAGTTGAGAGGATAAACTAGGGTTTAAGGAGATTCTTCTTAATATTGTTCTTGATTGATTATGACGTAAACCCAAAGTACATATTTATAGGGAAATACTGGAAAACCCTAATAATAATCCTAATACGACTAAATCTCTACTAACCATAATTATAATTATCCTACCTAATATAATAATAGAAACTCTAAATAAATGTGTTTCTGACAATCCATCCCCCTTGAAACCAACCTTGACCTCAAGGTTGTAGTTGACTTCTACCTCCTTGACCTTCCGCTTTCTTCGTTTCCAATTGCGCTCGATCCCTTGAATGAACTCTTCTCGCGCAACTCCCACCTTTCTTGTCTCTTCTCCACGTACGTGACATGTGTCACGTTCTTCATAGCCGAACAATCCGCCATCTTCCTTTTCAAAATCAACGAAATAAGAATCGGAGAATAGTTCTTCATTTTGCCCATCATCATTACCCACCTTGAGATCTTCAATGAAATGCTCCATAAATTCCTCTATGGTCTTGGTGGCGGATTTAAGCTCTAACCTTTCCCAATCTTCTTTTCTCTTATCCTTGATTTGGCCCATAAATACTTTAAAGAAAGAGTTAAAGCCCAAACCAATGTTAACCTCTTGTACTCTCCTCTTCTTCAGAAACTCGTGTGGGCCTGACTTATTGAAAAGCCCACTTGCTAAGTCCACCTTGTCTTCTTCTTTCTTGAAGTTGACTTCCTGCAAAATAAGTCCAAGAAGACAATCATCCATGTGAGGCCCATTTCCAATGCCTCCTTTTCGAGTTGGGATGAAAATCTCCAGCTCCTCCGGCCCAACCAAGCATCCATCCAGCTCGGTGGTTCGATCCATCGCCCAACCCACGTTCTCTGTTTGTTGGCGATTGAGACCTAGGGTTGCACAGGGGGGTAGCAGCCGCCCTCCTTCGACTGAAGCTTGGAGTCAATGGTACTTATTGACTAGCCACTGCTAATCTCAACCAAAATGTTTCAACTTTCTTTCCAAAAATTATTGTGATGCACAATTAGTTATATATATAATTAGCATGATTGCTCCGGACAAAATGTGGTGTCTACAGTCGTCTTCTCCGCCGGCAGCGCCTCCTCCATTACCACCTCTCCCGGCGGCGGACCGCCCAGCCGTCGACCCGAAGATCCACCCACTTCCGGCCTCATCTCCAACCCCGCCTCTACGTCGATTGACGCCACAGGCAAACAACTCCAGTGGGCGAGCTCTGCCTCTTTCTCCTCCAACTTCTTCTCCTTTTATGATGAGTTCGTCGTCACCACTCGGGGGCCCGTAGCCGATCGCCAAGCTACTTGCTCAATTGACGGCGTCAGCGACCAAGACCGGTGGTACATCGCCTCCTCTCTGCCTCGTCGGTCGATGCCGATGAGAAGCTCCTTCTCCGGCTTCCAGTCGAACGCCGCCAGGTCCCTCCGACGGTCCCTCCAGCGGTCCCTCTTCTTCTCCGACGTTGGGCAGTTCGCCAGGCGGTGGCGTCTAGATCCTGAGGCCACGCTACTCATCGTCGTCGCCAACTCGGTCCCAGGTCGCCGGTCATTGTTGACGTGGGGACCCGCCGTCTCCGAGCAGCTCATCTGAACCCTGGTCGTTCCAATCAAGGGTGACGGTGGTGGAGCTTCTCCCGGCGGTCTCCTTGTCGGCTACCGGCTCCGATTGCCGCAGCACCGACTTTTCAGCCTTGTCGCCTTCTGCCATGGACGACTTCTCATGATCACATCCATCTTTGGGGCTTCGCTGCTTCTTTCTGAACTTCCACCAGTCAATTGGGAGATTCAATTCGACTGACGGTGATCTGGGAGCAGCCTCGATTGACGTTGGGACAACATTGGTGGTGGTTGGTGGTGATCGGGAGGTGATTTGAAAGAGCGCCAAGGGATGTTGTCGATCTTCAAGGGTCTCGCCAGCCGATCCCTCTTCTTCTTCGACCATCATAGGGACCGTCGTCTTTGAAGCTTTGCCCCGTTCCTCCTTGTGCGGAGTAGCGACGATTTCAGCGGCAAGCAATCCCGATATCGGTGGTGATTGTAGTGGCTCGCTCTCGGTCTTCACGACAACGATGATTGGTGGTGTTGGCGTGTCTTTTCTGGCCGGTTTATTCGCCGCCATCAAATCCTGTGCAATTTTCCCGGGCTGCGGTAAGGACGAGGTAAGCTTGTTCCTCCATACCTCTTCCAGCTTCAACTTCAGAATCCTTGTGAGTTCGTTGATTAAGAGCTCTTCGAAGTTGGTCGAAACCATGGTACGAGTGCCTGCAACCGGGCTCTGATACCACTGTGAGAACCTCGCTTCTAGGGATTCTCGATACTGATCTTCGGCACTCGGGATTATACGTAACAAAGAGGGATTTAGGGATTGAGATAAGGAATTAGGGATTTAGATGAGAAAGAATAGAATTGGGAATCGGCCGACGCCTTGGACTAGGATGAGACGAGAAATTAGGAGTTGAGAGGATAAACTAGGGTTTAAGGAGATTCTTCTTAATATTGTTCTTGATTGATTATGACGTAAACCCAAAGTACATATTTATAGGGAAATACTGGAAAACCCTAATAATAATCCTAATACGACTAAATCTCTACTAACCATATTATAATTATCCTACTTAATATAATAATAGAAACTCTAAATAAATGTGTTTCTCACAAACCCATATAATACCTAAAATTAAAAAAAAAAATGGTCCACCTTAAAATACCCTGCACGCTATTCATAATCGAGCGGCATGCCGAATGGGAGAAGGCAGAGGAAAGGAGTTGCACACTTGCACTGGGTGGCTGAGACTTCTGAGACTTCTTTAAAACAACATTCCATCAGCCGACAAAAGCTACCTTCAAATTCATGGTTTGGTATGGTGTCTCTCTGCTCCTGTGCTTGCTTGCTAGTTTCTAAGTACATCCTTTATGTATTAATTAGTCTCGGAGAAGCCGCACTTTGCTGCGGGCTAAGTGCTGTGCTGGCAAATTGATCTGGAAGCCCGTACCTTGAAGTGATGTTTGTTACTCGTCTCATAGAATCCTTGAAAAGTATGTGGTTCAAGTTGAAGATGCTATTATATTATTTGGTTTTGGCTTCTTATTGTGAAAAAAATTCAAAAGTACCACTGTTTAAAAAAATATTCCAAAAATATCACTCAATTTCAAAAAATTCCAAAAATACCATCCTTTTTAAAAAATCGCCATCCCACCCTGCGGTTTGCATCACGAAAACTGCTGGGCGGAAGCACGGTTTTCTATGCAAACCGCAGGGCGAAGCGGCGATTTTGGAAACCGGACCAAACCGTTGGGTGGGCTGGCGGTTTTGGACCAAACCGCCACCCCACCCAGTGGTTTGGTCCTTTTTTTTTTTCGATCAACTCCTAATTTCGGCCGGAACTTCAAGCGAACGTTACTTTGGACCCGGGTATCCGATCGTATCGATTTTTTTTTTAATCCAAATAACTTTTCGAGATCTTGCAAGCCGCAAACAGCCGTAGGCGGTTTGGTCCCGCTTTTCGTCTCGAAAAAACGTCATTTGCTACCCCGAACGAGTCTTTTTTTGATTTCGTCAAACTTTGGGCGGCCTTAACTTTGTGCTACAAAATCCGAACGTCATAAATTTTTTTTTTATTCCGCATAACTTTTCGAGATCTACAACTGCAACGTTACTTGTGGAAAATAAAGGAAGCTAAAACGCCCGCCAATCGCCTCCTCGGACATCGAAAGAAGACGGATGAAGAGAAGAAGCAAGCAAGAAGAAAAATCCAAAATTTAGGGGTTCGAACATTGTCCTCGTCAATTTTGTCTTTGTTTCTCGCCAAAGCATAACCAATCACATCTTCGGAGCCAGCCCCTCCTTCCGTCGACGCTGAAACCCGTTTCCGTCAAGGCGTCAATAGATTATTCGTTTTGCATTACCGCCGCTACGATTTCGCTCCAGATCACTAATTTGATTTATTTGTATTTGAGATTGGGGATAAATAATTAGGGGTTGGGGGTCTCAACCGAGGAAGAAAAGCAACGAAGGATGAACTATGAAGTCTCGATTTTTATTGGAGAATCGCTAGAGGTCAACGGAGAAGCAAGTAAAGCAACCGGATGAGAGAAAGAGCAACAAGAAAGAATCGACGACGGGACGGGATGGAAGCTGGAGGGCTCGATGGAAATTGTGAGATAGGTTGGAGACTGGCCAGAGATATCTAGCTACTCAGAGGGTGAAAACGAAGCCCAATCGTCAAAGCCAGTCTAGTCTACAAAGCATAAAGCCCATGTTGAAGCATGCAGATAAATGACTGTGACCAAGCCAAAATAACCTACAACACAAGTTAGCAAAGCTCTTGTGCAATAGTAACCCGCTTATAACTTTAATTATAGAGATGATTTGGAAGTTGCGAAAGTTAAATCGTTGCATTGTAATGAGTCACCATAATATAAATACATATATTGATACAATGGATGTATTTTACCAATACATTGTTTGGTTGTTGAGATTTTACTTTATGCATTGATTTACATAAAGTTACTTTTATGGGGAAATGTCATATTTACCCTCAAGTTTTAGTATAAGACAAAAACTATTAGGGATATAAATGGATAGAAAAAGTTGACACAAATCTAAAAGCAACAATCACAATAATTTCAACTTTTAGTTGAGATTGTATAATGCATAATTTTTTTGTGATTGTTGGTGGGACCTACCTAAAATAATGCATGCATTGTTTTACACTTTGACACTTCCAAACATTGTATTGTGGACAATACATGTATTCAACAAGCACAACTCTAACAATCACAACTTCCAAACGAACCTTATATTTAGGATATTACGTGAAATCCTAAAGCTGCCAGCTATAACTGTTGTTCTCCTTCGCACGTCTACAAAACTAAGACAGCTTTCTGAATTTTGTCGATGGTTCCAGGGAGTACAGGACGAGAGTTTCTCTCCTATTGCTTGGATATGGATGTGGGATGGGGTTGGGGAATGAGGCTAGGTTATTAGCGAGTAGTAAGTGTACCCATAATATCCAAACGTGTATTAACGAGAAACCAGTGGATATCCATTGTAGAATTTCTTGATCCCAAGTCCCATCTTGTAAAAAAATTACGGGTAGTTGGATACTCATAACCCTAAAAAAATGGAACGAGTATTGGTATACCAAAATACTCGTTCCCCGTTGCCCACCCCTATAGATGACCTCTAAGTCAGATAATATAATAAGAAATAGATTCTAGTACAAAATTTATTATTTTGAAATACTACAAAATTAGATTTATTTGGTATAATTTGGAAAGGAGAGATCTAATGATCCATATCATAAAGAGGTAAGGGGAGAGAAGATATTTTTAGGAAAACTTATCGGATTCTTAGGGTAGTTGAATGGTTTTTTTTTTTTTTTTGCTAACACAAATCCTAGATGTGTTGTTTTTTTTTTTTTTTTTTTTTTGATAGAAATCTGCTCGGAGCTAATATTAATCAGACGAAACAGTTACATCATCGAGCTTCAACTGATCGAGCAGCCACATTGGTGGTCTATCAAACCAGACCTCTGCTTCATTCCATCTCGTATTGACATGCGCCATTTTATGGGCTGCCTCATTTGCCATCCTGCTAACGTGTCTCCACTCGCCTCCCCCAATTTCCTCCATCAGCTTACATATACTGCGGCATATAACTCCCACCTCAGTATGGACCTCTCTAGCTGTCGATAGCTTGCCCACCAGCGTAAGGCAATCCGTTTCGAGTACAGGGGATCCCAAGTGATGCTGTCGCACCAAAAGGAGACCAAACTCCCCTGCTAGCGCCTCGCCCATTTCCGGATCTCCCCCGTATCGGACTTTCTTCGCAGCCGCTAACACAAAGCGCCCCCTGTCATCTCTTATAACCACACCCAGGCCCAAACCTCCATCCACGACTCCTGCATCCACATTCACTTTAATCTTTCCCGTTGCTGGACGTTGCCATGTTTTCACCATGACTGGTCCCGGTGAGCTCTCCAAAGTCTCCTGGTGTTGTTTATAATCATCAAGATAAGCTTGGGCGCGCACCACTATTTCTTCTTCGGCCAACTTTGCACCATTGAATAGATGTGCGTTTCGTTCTTTCCAAAGAAACCATAGCAGTACACTCCAGTCCGCAAACTCATCTGCTGTTGCTGTCTGAGCCACTCGTGCTACCCATTCCAAGCATCCCTTATCATCCCTCATCTCAAACCACTTGGCTAAAGTTGATGCCCGCCAGATTCGGCAGACCCAACTACACTCCCCAAATAAATGGACTTGTGTCTCCCTCAAGTTGCAAAAGGGACAATCATCTCCTCTCCGCTCACTTCTCATACTCACCTGGTCCCCCGTAGCCAAAGAAACTCTCGCAAACCGCCACATAAAATGGCGGACTTTTGGTGGCGTTTTCATGGACCAAATCGTCTTCCACATATTAGCCTCCCCTATCGGCTGCAAACCCCGATTAGACATGAACTCCTTCAACCACACACGGTATCCCTCCCTCACTTCATAGCTCCCTGTTTTACTCGAAGCCCAAATCAGCCGATCGGGATCGCTAATACCTCGCATTGGAATGCGCAAGATGGACTCAGCCATCGCCGTTGGAAAACAACTTTCGATAAGTGCTGCATCCCACTGCTCCGTATCTGCATCAATCAGTTCACTGACCTTCGAGTCTACCGGCAGCCCCATCGGCGGTGACTGAACGAAGAAACCTGGTACGTCCGGCAACCACCGATCTCCCCAGATACGAACCAAATCCCCGTTCCCAATCCTCCACCTCAAACCACTGCATAAGAACTCTTGTGCGCTCATCAGACTACGCCATACAAAGCTTGGTCGGTAGCCGACATTTGCCTCGAGTGCGGTCCCATTCTTATAATATTTTGCTTTCATCATCCTCGCAATAAGAGAGCCAGGCCGCTGATGGAGGTTCCATAATTGCCTAGCTAGCAGGGCAGTGTTGAAACCCCGCAGGTCTCGGAAGCCAATGCCCCCCTCCGCCTTTGGACAAACAAGCTTCTCCCTCGCTAGCCATGGGATTCTCTTTTCAGTTCCTTTTTGCCCCCACCAGAACCTCATAATCATACTATGGACCTCATCTATAACTCCTTCTGGTACACGAAATACCGACATGACATAAGTCAATTGAGCCTGGGCAACTGATTTAATTAAAATCTCTCTCGCCGCTGCTGACATGTTCCTCTCCTTCCATCCCGAGAGCTTCTTCCTCACCCTTTCCTTGATGGTAGAGAATAATTCCTTCTTCGATCTGCCTGCCACCGTAGCTAATCCCAAATACTTCTCATGCTTTTCCACAGTCTTCATATTCAGGATCGAGCTTACCAAGAGGCTCTGATGGGGCTTCACACTCGCCCCAAAAGTTACTTCCGACTTCTCATAGCTGATCATCTGGCCTGACTCTTTTTCGTAGTCACTCAGGATTTGCTTCAGCTCCCGACCTTCCTGTGGAGTAGCCCTAGCAAAAAAGATAGAGTCGTCAGCAAAAAACAGGTGTGATACTGCAGGGGCTCCATGCGCCACCTGAATTCCATGGAGTCTCCCTTCTCTCCTTGCTTTCGATGTATATGCCGAAAGGCCCTCTGCCACCAACAGAAACAAATATGGGGACAGTGGATCTCCCTGCCGAAGCCCTCTGCTTGGCGTGAACCGGGAGGAGCGATGACCATTCACAAGTACCGAGTATGATACCGAAGTCACGCACATCATCACTAAACGGACCCATCTATCATCAAACCCCATCTTCTTCATAACGCCCTCCAAAAACCACCACTCAACCCTGTCATACGCTTTTGCCATGTCTGTCTTTGCCGCGAAGTATCCTCTCTTAATCTTCGTTTGTTTTTTCATCGTATGAAAACACTCAAAAGCTGCCATGATGTTATCAGCTATGAAACGTCCCGGGACGAAAGCACTCTGTTCCGGCGAAATCACCACATCCAGCAGGCTCTTCATACGATTTGCTAATGTCTTTGCCACAATCTTGTAAAGAACATTACATAGGCTAATTGGCCGAAATTCCTTAGGCATTGAGGGTTCTTTTACCTTTGGAATTAAGGCAATTAGCGTATGATTCAAATTTGGCGGCAAGCTCTCATGTTCCAAGATGTGAAGAACGAGGGCTGTAACATCGTCTCCAATGATGCCCCAAAACTTCACATAAAATAACACTGACAAACCATCCTCTCCGGGCGCCTTCCTTTTTCCCATCTGCTTTAACGCAGCAAAAACCTCTTCCCTAGTGAACGGTCGCCGCAGAATTTCATTTTCTTCCTCCGGGACTCGGCGATCAATTGAATCCAGAACTGGTGTCGCAAGCGGTCGGTCCCCCGTTTTGAACAGTCGACCGAAGTACTCCAGCAAACAGCCAAACACCTCCTCCTGACCTCGATACCATTGGTTCCTCTCATCCTTAAGCTTAGTGATTGTATTTCTTTTCCGTCGCGCAGAGGCTTTCCGGTGGAAGTAATTAGTATTCTTATCACCACCTTTTAGCCAGTCAGCCCGGGATCGTTGCTTCCAAAAAATCTCCTCGTCACATTCAATATCTTCTAACTCCGATCGGAGTGTATGGCTTTGAGCCAATGTTGTATCCGTCTTCGGTAGCCTCTCGAGCGCCCTAAGCGCCTTTCTAATCTTCTCCTTTTGCTTTTTGAAGCACTTTTCTAACATTCTTTTGTAGATTCAACGGATTATAACTCATTCGTTTTACATCAGCTTTCAAAAAGTTTTAGATAGAAGTCTGTTTTTTTTGCTCTATAAGATTATATCATTTTTATATGAGTCAATTAAGAAAAATGAGAGTTTAGAAAATGTAGTTTATGACTTGTAAAAAAAGAAATTTATCTCTCCTCTGAATTTCGTTAAAAAAAAAGACAAAGTGGTGCACAATTACAAGTTTGCCCCTCCTTGTCTCTTAATTAATTTTGGTTCGCTCGATGTACCTAAAATGAAATGCTAGATATGTTATTTTGTAATAAATAATTTTATACCCTATCATTTCCCATTAATAATAAATGATTGTAGTGGTTTTGTAATAAATAATTTTATATCCCTTTCGTTTTAATTCAAAATTTAATGATTTGCATAGATAAATAAGATTAATTGTGTTTTTTACAATGATATCCACTTTGATATTTTTGGAATAAAATTTTGTGAGACATTTAGTACTAGTCTATACCATGATGGTATTGTTTGGTATTACATAAGAGCATACCACGTGGTATGGAAGTGTATCATGGTGGTATTAACATACTAGATTGTAGAATGGTTGAATACATGATAGTATGAATATACTAACTGTCATTTTATGGTCCTATATTTTTTTCTCCAGAAATTTGTTTATCCAATAGATCATATGAAGAAATCGTCCTTCTGTGCAAATTTTTTCAAATCGGCTTAAAAAGAGAGGAGATACCATATGGTATGAGGTGGTAACGAGTTGTATGAATTTATTTTCTTGAAATATATTAAAAATTAATCTCATTTTTGTAGAGCACAACGAACTCGTTCCATCTGTAAAAAAAAAAATTAAAATCCAAATTATAACTAAGAACATATGAGTCTATTAAAAAAACTCGAAAAAAGAAAAAGATTTTAATTGTCGACCCTTAGATCTGGGGACCCATTTAAAATAAAGGGTACAAATTTAGTTATGAAAAGTTATGTACCATAGGGTTATTGACCCTATTTCGAGACAGAAGAGGAACGAATTACCTTGACCGAATTTTATACCCTATAATTTCCATGTAATAATAATAAATATTTTTAAATAATAACGTATAAGGAATAATCAAACTAAGATGATTAATAGACTCGTAAGTCGTAATAGTGATGGTTGTGAGTTGTCACCAATGGGCCGACACCGTGTACTATATATATATATATAAACCTATACATATGCACCTTTGAGGTTAATGCCAAATTACTCATTAAGAAATATGAATTATGTTAGATATGTAAGGATTTTGATTGATTTGATTAGAAATCTTTCAAATTAGGACTACGAATGTGGTCACGGGGCATTTCTCTATTAGTGTCACGGCACGTGGAAATGGAAAATGAGGACTGCAATAAGCCAATAACATAATGGGGGAAGAAAAATTGGATGGAACTTATCTATTCGTTCAAGTGGGTGGGTTGGCTTAATATCTTAGTTATTAATTTATCTTTTATATTTGCGTTTCAAAATTGGTTTAAATCTTCAATTTGTTGTTATAAGAGGACTTAGATAGAACCAAAGGCAAATAGCCCAAACTGGTAAAACTTTTGGGAGGCCCTCGATCGAATAGTGTGAGGTTATGTGTTCGACTCACTTCGAAGTCAATTGTGGTGTTCCTAGAGGTACAAAAAATGAATCTTAGTAAAGATTCCGAAGGATTCAACGAGGTGAACTCCAAATTTGGTTCCGTTTCGCTATTACTCAAACGTTGTGTGCGTGGATGTTCTTCTATTATAAAAAAAGAGATAGATAGATGCATCTAGAGAGAATGCCAAGTGTGGTCCTTAGACCCTACCATCAGCCAATCCAAAGTCTTTGTAAACATATCGTCTAAATTAATTAGTCTAGGGTGCAATACTTTAATGTTAATAACCCTAATCCTTGGGGGTGTCCCCATCGACTAATCCACGATATATAACTTAATGGAAACCGTAACATAAGAAAATCCCACTGATCTTGGAATGCCAAGTTTGACCAAAAAACAAAGTGGCATGAGTTTATTTTAAAGCTCTTGAGCAATGGAAGAATATTGAAAGTAATTTGATAAGACTAACAAATATGTAGCTTACAGATATATAGGATCTATGGTTGTTCAGTTTTAATTTTCGTCCAGGTGCACTTCATAAGGTAAGCATAGTAGAATTAGTTTTTGTCTCATCGTGCCATTAGGAACTGCTCTGAATTCACTCGGTTACACATTATTGATTTCCCCCCTATTAGTTCATGGAAAAAGAAATACGATTATAGAACTTATAGGTACACGTACGGTTCATGTTGATAGGGGAGGAAGCTTGACATTAGAGACCCACAGACCGTCCCAACCCGAGGATTGAGCTGAGTCAGTTTGTCTATAATATTAGTTTAGGTTCCGATCATCTTTTGTTTCTATAAAGTTCGGGTAGGGTCAGATCAATTTAGAGTGGATGACTTTTTTTTACCCTGTGACCATAACAACAACTAATAATAAATTCTTCATACCAACACATTGGACGTGTTTGTAAAGCTAAAAAAGTTTAGTTAATATAATGCTAGGTTAAAAAAATAAAGGAAATAAAACATAATTATACCACAAAAAAATTTAGACATATTTGTAAAAAATAAAGTTTAGGTACTAAATTATAAGAAAAATAAAATTGTACACCAAAATATAATTTTCAGAAACAAATGACTCGATTTGAACCGACCCACTGACCCGGTGTTTACACTAAAATAATTTTCATTAATTATTACATGTATGACCAACTTGGCCACTCTAAGTAGTTGGTCCATGTGTACATGGATGATCCAATTTATCAAGTTCGGTGGTAGGTTTGGTGGATGGTAGTTCGGTATGAGGTAACCATCCAAGATTGTTAATGTACCAGCCATGGACATCATCCAACTCTATTATGGATGGTAGTATCCAACATCATGGATACCATCCAACCCTACAAATGGATGGTAGTGTCCAACATCAAGGATATCATCCAAACCCTATTATGGATGGTACCATCCCATTAATCATGACGACCATCCAACCTCTAATTGGATGGTGTCATCCAAGATCATGGAAACTATCCTAACTCAAAGTGGATACTGGATAGTGCCATCCAGTAACATGGATACCATCCAACCCCAAAAGGATGGTATCATCCCATGTCATGGACACTATCTCAACTATTAAATGGATAGTGTCATCCATGTTATGGTATGGTGACCATCTAAGATGGTTACCATCCATGGAGTGTTGTATCAGTCACATGGATACCATCCAAGTTATTTGGTGTAAGGTGACAATCCAATTGCCCATCCATTGTACGCAAGGTTGATTGTCTAGTGACATGATGGCGTGTCAAAGGTGGTTACCGGAAGCATCAACTGACTTGCAAAGGACGCTAGGAAAAGAGGTAGAGGATGCTACGTGGAGCTAATTTTCGGGAAGAGAGACATGGCGGTTAGAGGGTGATGCACAACAAAACTTGCAGCAAGGCTTTGAAAGAGGGACATACAAATCAAATCACAAACAATCTCGTCAAAATTTATCTTTTTCTCTCTAAAACCATAACCACAACACTAGCAGGCAGTAGCACCAGGGACCCTCCACGAGGCTTCTCGATTAGTTGTAGTCAGTAGTTGCAGAGCTCTCAAGGAATCTTCATAGGAGTAGAGGTAACAGTAACTAAATCCTTTGATGTATGCATCGAACACCCTCGTTCGAACAGTATTTGAAGAGGTGTAAACTGAATAGCATCGTTTTTTGTTTTCTTGAAGTCAGGGTCCACTGATGACGCGAAATTCCACCAATAACATATTGGCACACCTAGTGGGACAACGTGTGTTTGATAGGGCTCTGCGACGAAGGATTCAAGATGGTGATCCTTTGCAAGGTTCTATGCAGGAGGAGCGGTTGGTTAACGTTGATGTTGACCAAGTAGGAGAAAAAAATGCTGGAGGAGAGGCGCCAACCATGGTGCCTAATGCAAATCCTAGTAAAGCAGCACCATCAGTTAGCCAAATGGTGGAGGAGACTCGCCAACAGGTGGTTTGGTTGAACATAAACTACCAATAGGTAACCATTCGTCTTGCTTCTTTGGATGAGGGCATTGATGGTTTGAGTTCGCGTTGTGATAGATGTTTGGCTCAATTATTTGAGATGGTGAACAAAAATACGAATGATTTGGGCGAGTTTAGGCAATTGTTGAACATACCAATTTTACAAACTAGGATTTTGTCTTCAGCTGGTCGAACCTTTCCAAATCTTGAAAGTGAAAATGTTAACTAACCATCCAACAGTGGTGGTTGAGGTGACTAGCCACGACCGAGAAATCCTACACGGGCGACAACCATCGTACCAACGCCTCAAAGGGTGAATGTTGGCGAGAGTCACACCACTTCATCTCAGGTCCATGTTGAGAAACCACCACTTGTGCAAGGTTTAGCTCGGCAAAACATTACACAAGCCAGGCCATACATGGCTCCTGATAATGTTCGGATGGTTTTGGGTCCAAACAATGTTGACCCTATACTACCACGTGCGTATCCGTGATGCTTTGTATAGTTGAATTATGAACTTTATTTTTTCAATAAAATGAACTTTTTTTTTTGTCTGCCCTGTCAATTTCAGACCTCTCAACTTTAGAATGTATTGGTGGTAACCAACCTTAGGGTATTTGGTATTCTTGCCCTTCCCTAACTCATTTACTTATGGCATTTACTTATGGCACTAGACTAGTGGTTTGTGAAGTTGATGAAACTATAACCAAGTAAGAAATGTGATACCTTTTATTTAGGGATAACGAAATAACTCAACACCATAAGTACCAACCAAATTTGATTTGATTTGATCGGAAAAAATCCAAATGATATTACTTTTGGGTGGTTTTTCCCGAACTCGACAAAGAAGGTATGAGTTTGGTGCGATTTTGGTATTTTAAGCATTTGCACCAACCTAACCTAACCCTAAACATAAGTCATTTATATCTCTCAAATATTATAATTATCTCTTAAGTCCAAATTTGCTCATTTTCACTCATTTTTATGAATAATGTCTTAACAAACTTACCCGTAGGATTGCAATTGTAAGAGAAAATTTACATTATATAAAAAAAATTATATATGATTGTCATATAACATCCCTACCTACTTTTTGTTATGTGGATGGTTATAACAGACCTACATGGTTTCATTACATGTACTTATATTCTCATATTATGGTTTTCAAGTCATCATCATGGTCTAATATAAACATGTAGAGTTGTATGTTATTGATGGGATGTCCATATATTTCAAGCAAAACAAACTTGATAAACAAAGAGAATATAAAAATGAATATTGGGAAATAAAATTACATTTTTTCTTGATTGCGAAGTGGCTGAGTTCTCAACCAATGGATGGTGAAGCCTGCGTGATTAGTGATTAATGTCTTTTGTTACAAGTCAAAAAATTTACGTTTTGAATGTCTAGAATATAATTATTGATAGTTCAATTTCAACTTCTTTTAAATCTTATATTAAGTAACACAGCTTGAAAAAATTCATGTATTGTTCTATGGGTTAATTGCAAGGTTGGTAACTTAGGTTATTAAAAACGTTCATGTTTGGTCACTGCAAATATTTAATTCCATTCATGGTCACTAAGTTTACTAAAACATGTCATGTTTAGTCACTTTCCGTTAGTCTCCGTTAACGACGTTAATTTTTTGCTAATGTGGCTAACAAAAATGTCCAATCGCCCAATTTTAATCCAGAAAACTTAAAACCCGACCCGCCACATCATTAAACCCACCACGTCATATATCCAACCCAACCCACCCGAACTAAAAAAGCATGTGATAGAGCTGGGTTTTCGCGTGAAGGCCACCCGAACCATCGCCGCCCCCACAAATCTGAAATACTTAGAACCACCATCGTCTCCGCCGTAATCATCCGACCCGACGATGTCACCCGGACCAACGGGGTCGTCCATGGAATCAAGCCTCCTCATCCCTCAGTCCGTCTAGGAAGACTTCAACCGGCACAGGAATCCCAAAATCCCAAATTCCAGAAATTGAAACCACAAAACTCAGCACGAATCAAAAGCCTAAAACCCAGAAATTGAAACACTAAAAACATAGATCGGGATGGGTTCGTCGATTGCGGCAGAGAAGGTGGATGCTGGGGTTCTCATAGGTTGATTGCACTAGCGATCTGCTTGGGTTCACCTGGGTCGCAGTCAGAAGAAGAAGAAAAGTTGTTGGGTTCGCAGTCAGATTTTAATGATGTGGCGGGTCGGATTTTATTTTGTTGGTTTAAAAATAGCTGATTAAGCACTTTTATTAGCCATGTCAACAAAAAAAAATTAACGCCGTTAACGGAGGCTAATGGAGAGTGACCAATTATGACATGTTTTAGTAAAATTTAGTGACCACAAATGAAATTAAATATTTGCAGTGAGCAAACATGAACGTTTTTAGTAATCCCAGTGACCAACCTTACAATTAACCCTTTGTTCTATGTTGTGTATCATCTTGTAATTGATTGTTTAATTTCAACTTCTTTGAAATCCCCTTATGTTATTTCATGGCTAATCAATAATGATTACATATTAGAAACCCTATAGTCTTCATTGATTATGTGTAATCAATTCATTTGATTGTTTATGAACTTTAGACAGTTGCTCAACAATTATGATTCTTTCGCTGATATTGATATTGTGTCTCATGTTAAGAGAAACAAAATATTGGCAAAAAGGTTGTGGTTATGTTTTTCCCCATATTTACACTATGTTTTGTCATCTAAATTCTTTTTTTGTTGTGTGTGTCAGTTTTTTCCAACTACGAACAACTAAGTGACTGCATTATTAAATATGCAAGTCAAGAATGGCTTGACGAACTGGACCTCATCAGACCAAACCGACTTTTGGACCTGACAATACTTATCCAACTATAATACGGTCCGATCCAATTAATTCTATAAATAATGAAGAAAATGGACCAATAATTTTGATGTCACTTAATATCAAATGAAATTAAACATTTTAAATATATTTATTTAAAAATTAGATAAATGTTGTGATACAATGTATCTAAATGGGAGGTGTCTGGTACTTCTGCTGGTACATAGGTATGGAGGCGGTTACTGAAGTGTAGAGAGTTTGCTTATCCTCACGTAACAGGTATCCCTCCTCACGTGTTATGGCAGGGTGAACAAATGCAAAAGTACTCTGTCAAGAGGGTTTGGAATTCTATAAGGGATCGACCGCGAGAAGTGAGCTGGTGGAAACTTGTATGGTCAAAAGAGATAATCCCCAGGCATGGTTTTATTATGTGGTTGGCTATGCATAATAGAATGGTTACTCAGGATAAGTTGATTGCTTGGGGAAAGCCCTAGTCAGGTTTATGCATGTTGTGTCCAGGTGGCTTGGAGAGTCGAAGCCATCTTCTAGTGTCTTGTTCGTATAGTATTTGTGTATTGCAGCAAAGCTTAAAAAGCTTCTCGCCACCAGCTGCAGGGGACTGGGACGACATTGTGACTTGGTGTGAGCAGCAGTGGAGTACAAAGAATCCAAGGCATTGTTTGTGCAGGTTACTATGGAGCACAGCTCTCAGCCACATTTGGCGGGAACGATGTACCAGGTTCTATGGCAAAAAGTCCATCATGCTGCGAGGAGTGTTGGTGAATGTAATTCATAGTGATGTCTTGTATCGAGTGACTGGGGATCCTATTCTTCAGGCCGAGTTGGAGTATATAGATATATTATAGTTATAGAGCTTACTCTTTTATAGTATTGTTGCCCTTTGTTGGGTGGTTTTCTATTGTATTGTTTGAGAGGCACATCGTCTAGTTGGAGTATATAGATATATTATAGTTATAGAGCTTACTCTTTTATAATGTTGTTGCCCTTTGTTGGGTGGTTTTTGATTGTATTGTTTGAGAGGCACATCAGGTTTTTTCTGATGGTTGCCTCAGCTTAATGCAATTTTTATTCCAACTCAAACTTCAACAAAGCGATTCTGGCAAAACAGTTGTGGAATTTGATTCTTAAACCTCATTCTTTGGCTGCAAGGCTTCTTAAAGCAAAGTATCATCCAAGATGCAGTATTCTAGAAGCAAAGGTGGGGTGGAGACCAAGCTATATATGGAGGAGTTTGATGGGGGCTCAAGACCTTCTTAAACATGGCTGCAGATGGAAGATTGGGACCGGGGAGGACGTGAAGATATGGGGCGACCGCTGGGTTCCAGGCTTGGACAATTACCAAGTCTACTCCTTTAGCCCTTACCTGGATTGGGATTCGAAAGTCTCGAGCCTCATTGACCAAGAGACCAGATCGTGGAGGAGAGATTTAATTGAGCTTATATTCACTCAGGAAGAGCAGCAAGCTATAATGGCAATTCCACTTTCCCCAACCTGTGATAAGGTCAGTCTTTGCTGGTCTGAAACTGAAAATGGCAAATATACTGTAAGATCAGGATATGAATTTGAGCAGGGAAGAATCAGTGAAGAAGTTGTTGATAGAGATGCAGAGCAAGAAAGGTGCAGCGGATGGAAGAAATTATGGAAGTTGAATGTCCCCGGGAAGTTGAGGGTATTCCTTTGGAAGGTGGCTCACAACATTCTCCCCGTGGGGGAGAAAATCTGCAAGAAGGTCAAGACAATGGGGGATGAATGCCCAAACTGCGGTATGAAAGAGTCGTTGAAACACTGTCTTAGAGATTGCAGCTGGATCAAAAGAATATGGTCAAAAACCCCTGTGGCAGAGCTATTCTATAAAGCAGAAAATATCACTTGCAGGGAATGGATCTTCAAAGTTATTAAGGAAGCAAAGGTAGGGGAGTTGGAGCGGTTCTGCTCTCTTCTATGGTTTTTCTGGAAGGAAAGGAACAACTTTCTGTTTAACAACAAGGTTTTACAGGAGTGGGAAGTCTTCCCTAGAGCAGACAATTACATTCATGATTTTCTTGCTATCCAAGGGAAGGAGAGAATCAGAGTAGGAAAGAGGAAAGGAGAAGGTGTAGATGGACCAAGCCAATAAGAGGGGTTCTGAAACTGAATACTGATGCTGGAACAAATGGGAAAGGGGAGGTCGGATTGGGATGCGTTGTCAGGGATTGGTATGGTGGAGTGGTTATGGCGGCTAGCAAGACGATCAAGGCAAGATGGCCGCCAGATTTGGCGGAAGGAATGGCCTTACTTTTTGGCTTGCAGAAAGCAAAGGAGATGGGACTTAAAACTATTCAGGTTGAGACAGATTGCAAGAGACTGGTGAACCTGCTGAAAGGAAAAGAGGAGTGCAGAACTGAAACGGATAATGTCTGCAAGAGCATTCTGAAGATGGGTGAAGAGGTGGAAGTTATTGAGTGGAATTTTACTTTTAGAGAAGCAAACAATGTTGCCCACTTGCTGGCTCATCTTTTTACTTCCCCTGTTAATGATGATAGAGTTTGGATTGGAGGTATCCCTTCACAGATAGCTGATGTAGCTGCCTCAGAGGCAGCATATTGATTTGAATGAATCACATCGGTTTTCTCAAAAAAAAAAAAAAAAAAAAAAAAGATTATGATGATAGAAATTCATTGCTCAGGCTGTAATATGCTATTAGTGAGCTCCCACCCTTCCTCTGTAACCAACCTTCAATTTTTTTCCCCGAGTTCCTAATCTTGACATATTGATGGAAAGATTTAGTAGTCGAATCACCCACAGGCTACAAGGCAACCAAGAAATTCTTGATTTTTGTCAATAAAATCACCTACAAAGGCAACACAGAAGTTCACACTAGGCACTGCACAGCTCACAGAATTAATGTTATCGGAGGTACATAACAAATTTCCGCAATAACTGGAAAACTGACTCAGTTAGGAACATCTTTACATTTGACCCTCTTCATAAAAATACCGCCAGCTTAGCAAATCCTGCATTTAGTTCACAGTATCACAAAAACAAAAACAAAAGAAACAAAAAAAACAAGGTACAAAGGCGAAAGATATGTCAACCAAAAGATCTTGCAACCTCGTAATTTCCTCTCATTCTCAGCTCAATTCTATCAGTGTTTTAGCAACACCCCCAAGTCCAGTGTGCAAAATTTGAAGAACGCATGGTGCTGTTGCTAACTTGGTTTCGAGAGCGAGTTTTTTGACTCTGCTACTAAAGTTGAACCCGTCACGCTACGTTGCAAGGTGCATCTCATCACCGAGGTTGTCTTTTAGAATGAGGCGGAAGGGAGAGAAGAATCTTCTTCCTAGGCCCCTGCCATCCACGGACATATATTGCGTAACAAGTTACAACCAGAGCAAAGATAAATAATACACACAGGAAACAATTTAATTAAACTAGCCCAAAGAGAACACATGTTGAACATTGGAGTACATCTGCAAACAAACCAACCACCAGCTCTAACAGTGAAGTTTCAATCACTCTATAATCTCGACATCAGTGCTAGATTCTAGCATTATGCACAAAATTCAAGCCAACTGATAGTGGCTAGGGGGGAGCCTTCTAAATTCTTCACACACAGTATAACTAGAGATTCACAAACCTTCAGTTACCCCCTTATACAAGTTCAGACTCTTATCAGTTTTGAATATTAAGATCCAGAAACAAAATATTCAAATAGCTACGGGGACTTGAGACTACATAGTACATATTCAAATAGCTACGGGGACTTGAGAATACATAGTACATATTGCATATCATCTGGCAGCTAAAGATAAGAAAACAATACCATAGGTATCCCAAGTTCTTTCAGGTCACTTTCCCCCATCTGCTTCAGTGCATGCATGTCCACCTGGTTGTCAGATAACACCAAAACGATGTTTTCAGGAGATATTTTGACTCAACAGGCAGGCTATGCTTCCAAACACTTCATCACAAAATGCAGACAGGTGAAACAAATTCAAGCTACAAAATTTATAAGTAGAGTTCCTATGTTCAACTTGGCTTCGCATGAACAAATAAGGTTGTCTCAGTGAAAGCCCATCAAAGGTCCACTGCATCCGACACGGCAGCTCACGCTATTAGAGAGTAAATCGGTCATTGAATAATGGAAACAGTATTAACAGTAAATTGCCATCTGCCATCAGTCACAAATGCAGTCAAACCAACATACTAGATGAAGCATGAAACCGTACATGAAAATTCACTGCAGCAACTCCAGTTGACATCTTACAGATGCTGATCAAATTTGCATGCAGCCTTCGTGGGCATATTGAGTAATAACAGAATGCATGTGCGGAATGAATAATCCATCAACATCCTAGAAGGGTTAATTACAGAGGATGTTAGACATACCTCCTCAGCTTTGAAAATGATGGCATATTTCTCCAATCCAAGCGAATGCAATAAGCCTTCAACAGTCTGCTGTTCTTCCCCCTACAGGTGACCAGAAGTAAACAACCCAGTATAATTCAATGAATAAACAGCGGGAATACTAACTGGAACACACAATCCTCAGTCCTCTGACATCAAGACACACAACTCAACTACAACACAGAAAGCCGAGCATGGTATGTATGCCTCCATGTCATGATCAGACGTGTGTGAAATATTTTCTCTCCCAATTGCGAATGAGTAAAAGTGAAAGGAAGAGACTCATACTGCATATGTTTGTTTCGACAGAACACTTATCGCTGGAGCAACTGGAGCCGAAACCGGTGCAGCACTTTTTCTTGAAACAGTGGGCAAACCCGGTTTTGGCATGAAATGAGTGGAGCTACTCATGGACCTTGGAGCATCATGAATGTCTCTTGTCATGTACGAAACCGGTCTAACATCATCAGTATACCTGCCTAATGACCTCCCCTGAACTTCATCCACGTGTCTTGGTGGGGAAAACCCTCTAGACGTACGCATAACCCTATCAGGGACTGTTGAAGCAGTTATGATCCTACCAGGAGATCTCCGTCTTATATGGTCCAAAGTCCAAGGTGAATATGAATTTCTTGATGATTCCATCCGAGACAATTCACTGGGGCTTCCTGAAGAAGGGATTCTGCCCATAAGACTAGTCTCCCGGGGATCTGACATGCGCTCCCCAGTACCAAGACTTGCAGGAAGGCGACGAAGTGATTGCGATGTCCGTGGGAGCTTATCTCGCAAATCCCTCTGGTCATCATCACTTTGAGCTCTTCTACCCGCATTTTTTTGCAGGAGTTTGAATCGTAGATCACCCTTGCCAATACGTGCATCTTTAGTTATTGAAAGGCACCAGGTCAGTGATCCATAAATATTCCAAGAGAAAGAAAATCAAAATATCGCAGCTTATGGAAGGAAAGGTCATCACCTCTAACACCAGCAGCGTTTGCAGCAGTCAAATAATTATCGCTTCGATGCCTGAATAAGGGAACCAGGGATTATCAATCAGTTGCAAAGCAAATTTCTCTATGAACTAACCAATGCGAATCAAAGAAGTAACAGAGTCACATTAAGCACAAATGCAGCAGCCGAATCCAGAGGCCACAAAGTTAAAACAAAAGCAAACTCATTATCAAACTCAAAGACTAGCAAAAAGGGAAGGCAGATGCCAAAAATACCGTTTGGAACCCTCCGAGTCACCTCCTAATCGATCCCTCACAGAGCGCTTCCCTCCAACACCTAGCAGCGAATCTGAATTGCCAACAGCCGACACAGCACGCTTCACTACCTATAATCAGGTCGCCACCTTCGAAGTCAGCTTAACTTGCACAACGTAAAAATCTTAGGTTCAAAAGCAAATGAAATTAGCAGATACAGCTGCCGAAGGGCCCAACGCCATCGGGGAAGCAGAAAAAGAACTGGCAACAACTCGAGAACAGATGTCGAAAGAGGTATACATACCTGACCACCAGGACCAAGAGTAATAGTAACGCGACCGTTGGAAGCGTCAGCCATGACAATGGGTTCCTGCAAAAACCCGTAGCAGAACTTGTTCGTCTGTCAGCTACCTCGCGTCCTCTAGCGGTTTACCGGGCAGAAGGAAGCAAGGGAGGAAGGTGATGAATACTCCGGGAAGATAGATATCAGAAACCCTAATCGCCAAGATACTTCCCAACAAAAATTGGCGAATTTCGAATTGGATTTCTTCCTCGGACTTGGATGAGTGATTGCAAGCTTGATCGGAGTAGAGAAATGAATTGGAGAGATCTGGAAGAGGAAATGAATCTGCGAGCCGGTTGGCCGCTGTGCTGTCTGTAGGGAATGGAGATATTACAGTCCTCGGACCTCAATCCATCAACGTCAACGAGGAACGTCTGATCGGGAGGGAGTCTCACTCCGTTTTACCGTCACCGTCAGTCAACTTTTTTTTTTTTTTTTTGCCCTCTCTTCTCTTCCGCCGGGCGGTTCGATTAGGGCTTTGTTACTAATCTTGCGTGCTGATGGGCTGAAGAGCACTCGCAAGCCCAGCCCATGGATATTAATTGTAAACCTAACGGCTCGTTAGACATAGTGTTATGTAGGCCAAGAAAGTACTCAAAATATTTGATTAGTAAATCTTCAAAAAATAATAAACACCATATGATTATGAAAAAACTCTTTCTTAGGTCTTTGTTGGAGAAAGAGGTTTTTTTTTACTCTGCTTAGGTCTTTGTTGTTGTTAAATTCAATTAAATTTCATCCAACACAACATTTTCTTTCTATTTCATTATTGGTTTGAGAATGATTTGAACAACTAGGGGTCGTTTGGAAGTTGAGAAATCAAGTGAGGTATTTAGCCAATACATGTAATGATAAGATTAAGTCGTTTTTTTGGTTCAATTTGAGTTAGAATGCATGTATTACCTTTTTCCTGGCCCACCCACAATAACTCAAAATGAATGATTGTCAATCTCTATAAAAAGTAGAGATTGTTAACAAGGGATTGTCTACCCTACTTTTTGCTCAATCATTATCTTTCCAAACAAAGTATTTTCCTAATACATGCATTGAATCAATACATCAAATAATAATACATGAATTGATTACATGCATCTATTTGGAGAATCTCAACTTCCAAACATGCTTGTACATCTGTGTAAACATTCATACTTCAAGTTCATGTAGGCCTCCATCATTCCCAAATTCATTCGACATAGCTATCTTAGTTTGATTTACATGATCTCTCATCTCCAATCAATTCTAAAAGTAAAGTTTTCATTTTCCATTCAAAATACATCAACTACTTTATGTTTACCTTTAACTAAATTATCAATGTTCATTATAATGTCTACGTGGGAACAAAGTTGTGTGATGCAATGAAAAGCTCGAGCTTCTATAATTTTAATGATGATCTATAATATAGCTCGAGACTTCTCTATTCACTAGTAGTCGTTCGAATAAGGGATTTTTTGTGTATGATTTCAACATAAGCTCTCAATATGCAGGATTTGGCCAAAACCTTCATTTTGAAAGGGCTAAATAAATTAAGAATTGTAAGGCCATTTTATAATTCCACGAAAATACGTGACCCCTCAACTATTTCAAAATGACACATTCGCAGATATTCTATTACAAAACAAACCCAACTTCAGCTTTCTTCCTTCTTCATTTTTCCCCCCTTTCCGACGATGTCAAACCAAGGGTTTGCCTCCGAATCCATGGGGAAGCTTGAAATCGATGTTGATTCCAGCCAATGACGAGGGAGAACCCTAGACCGGCGAGGTAGATGTCGATGTTGGTGGTACTCGTTTTCTTTGCGGTGATGCCAGACTAGAGGGAATGAGTTAGTGTGGTTATTCAATTTTGAGTAACCACAGTGACTACCATAATCTATACCATTCATTATCTTTATTTCATTCTATTTTTATATTGATGATAAAGATTAGATGAAGGATAACTTTGAAAACAAAAAAATATCACACCTGATTACTTTTTCATAAAAAATAAATTTTTATATATTATATACAAACTCTACTACAATCCTTCAAGCCGTCAACACCCCAAAAAAAAATTCTCCCTCCCCCTCTCACATGCCGATGGCCACCCGTCCCTCTCCTCTCCCCTCCGCCTACCCTTCCCCCCACCCTCCCGCCACCCTCTTTGTCACCACTCCGCTTCACCTACCCTTCCCCCTCCCCTCCCACCCCTCTGCCACCATACCTCTCTCTCTCTCTCTCTCTCTAGCTAGAAGATCGATGAAGAATTGTTCATCACAAACCCTCGGTCGAATTTCAGATCTTGATTATGATTAGCTGCTGTGATTAATTGGATCTCTGGATGTGTAAAGGTATGTATTTTTGTGAAATGGTAGTGATTTTTCCATAATGGTAATGTTTTTTTCGCATTGGTATTGTTTTTGTGGCATTGGTATTGATTTTATTGCATTGGTATTGTTTTTTTGCATTGGTATTGATTATCATGTAATGGTATTAATTTGCATGTATTGGTATTGACTAAATCTGCAATGGTATTGATTTTTTGTGAAATGATATAGATTTATATTAGTAGTTTTCGTGTAACGGTATAGATTTTTTTTTGCAATGGTATTGATATTTTTCAAAGTGGTAGTGGTTGTCTAATGGATTGGTAGTGATTTCGTGTTTTTTTTCTTTTGCAGAAAGATTGAGAAAAATAAGGAAAGGGGATCTGGCTGGAGATTATGGAAGTGAGACAAAGAGAGAGAATTGTAACTAATAGATTCTTGTAACTACCTAAAATGTAATTTATTAAAAATATTAATTAATATAATTTATTTTTCATTTCCAATTTACCCTTAATAACCACGGTGATTACTACTTTGCCTTAGAATTTGAGGAAAGTAGTAATCACCGTAACCTGTACCCGGACTAGAGCTTTGCCTTAAAATTTGAGGAAAGTAGTAATCACCGTAACTTGTACCCAGACTAGAGCTTTGCCTTAGAATTTGAGGGGAAGATTGACCTAGCGTCAATTCCAGTCAATGGCTGGCTCCTGTTTTTGTTGTGATGGTCAGCGATGATTTTGCATTGTGGATTCATGGAGAAGAAGATGAAGAAACGACGAAGAGGATGAAAAGGCAATTTTGTATCTTGGCCTTTTTCATTAAAAACCCAAATTTGTAGACAAAAACAAGATATTTATCTTAAAATCAACATACCAAATGTATGATTTTTCAATTGAGAGATTTGACTCCAAATCCCTCAACACCAACCCCCATCCAAACAACCTCTAATCCACACTACAAAAAAATGTCCCTATGCCAAGACATGTATATACTGATATTAAACTAGTGTTTCTGTTTCGGAAATTCTATGTGTTGAAAAAACAATACACAAAAATTAATGGAATTGCAATGATAATCAATTGGAAATGATCTAATGGAGAATATGAATTAGAGAGATTATAAACATTTTTATTTTAAATAATATTAGAAATATATTACATTTTTCAAATAACAATTATATAATTATTTTAATTTTAGTATGCTAAAAAGTAAATTTGTACCATATCTAAATTTTGGAACAAGGCTCCACGATCTATTAAACGATCTAGGGTTAATATTTTTGTATGGCCTGAACTTTGACCAAAATAAACATCATGGCCAATCTTTTCGATTTATAACATCCTGGCCCGAACTATACACCAAAATAAACAATTTGGCCAAACCCGATGTTTGACCGTTAACTTGGACGGTCAAATGCGTTGACCGTTAGTCAACGCGCCATGTCACTGCCAAGTTAGCATAAAATATTTAAAATAATTCACAATTTCCACACATTCGCTAATTTTAAATTATTATAAATTAAAAAAATCATCTAATACCTTAGTTAAACCAAAAATAAAAAAATCATATAATAAATATTAAGATAAATCAAGGTAAAACGGGTCAAGAACTGGTGGGACAAGGCAGCTCAAGACGAAAGTAGTACAAATGTCTCATCCCATGCTATTATAGGTGCCCCAACACGGATCATGTGGGGTAATACACGGCGTGGCGGGTTCAAATTATCACTACTACCAATTTTGCTATAGCTTCAAGAGTTTGTTGTAATTGTTTTAACACTTTTATATAATTCTGATATACATCCAACATCATGTGATGTGCTATAAACTAAATATAAATTTTTAAATGTTAATAAAATACGAAAATTATTATTAATTGACAATAATATATCTCTGGCTACATTACTGGTAGCTGAAAGATTTGATAAATAACTAGATTGAGATAGAGGGGACAAAATAACTATTGGATTTGGATCGAGATAGGTGTGATCCAAATAGGTAAACATTTATTTATTTATATCGTCTTAATTATAGAATGATGTTGCTTTGTAGAAATTTTGACATAATATTCACCAAAAAAAAATTATTTTCTAGAATATAAAATAATATTCACATGCATCCTTTTTTGCATAAATTCATTAACAACTTTCACGAAATAATCCCATCAATACAATCAACTGGTTCCACAACTCCACCAACCATACTTTATGAGGTGTTAGGTATGGAATTCAAATGTTTCAACGATACAAAATACAACTCTCCATCATTAAACATGAACTTAGAGTTACATGAATTTCATTTTTACACAAATTGTGACATATGTAAGTTTCCTATTTATTCGATTTCATTCTTGATAAGGGGCTTATTTTACCCATTTTCCATATTCACCACTTACAACAAAATTTTCACATCTTAACTCAATAAAACCAAATGAATGGGCATACAAAACCAAATACTAAAAAGAAGAGTCAAATAGTTGCAACAAAGTGGGATAGATTATCTAGTTAGATTATCTAGTTAGATCTTCATTAACCTTATAAAACATGAGCAAACCATTAAACCTCATGAAAAGGTTGAAATGTTTCCATGATTAGCATGGCATTATTCACCCCGCTTGTAGCTGAAGTTAATGAGCAAAAGTAAACTTTATACAGAAGGCCGACAGAGAGAATGATTAGTTACGGAGCTGAAAAAAGGTTAATTTGTTTAAAAAG